ACGAGAGAGAATGGAGACTTCGCGGGCAAGGCAAGAGTGCCGAGTGCAAAAGCGGATAACGGAACTCCACCGGACTTTAAACACTCCCGTGAACGTTGGACCGGGAGAAGAAGTGCCACATCTCGGCAGAGGAGCGGCACACAGGCGTGCCACAAGCATCGGTTGGAAGCGGTACGTGAAGGACAAGTGGGTCAGCCAGGAGGCACGGACCTTGGACCCGGAGTGGAGAGATCCAGCGGGCCGTGCGCAAAAGGGAAATAACGGTTCCCGGAGGCCCTATATAAGGCCGCAGAGCGCTGGCAGCTGGATCAGTCGATCACGAGGAGTCAAACCTTCAAGATCAGTTAAAGTACCAAGTGAACAGTCAGTCAAGCAAGTAATCTACGAGGGAGCCACAACCAAGCGAGTCGTCGGAAGCAGCGCCGTGGGAAGCACACAAGGAGCAAGATCGCCACGTCGAGACGTTCGGGTTTGGGACATCAGGAATCTCCGAATTGAGACACAAGTGGCTGAGTTCCGGAAGGTATCACACGGCTAAGTCAAGGAGTTTGTTTTCCAACTTTGTCACGACCACACCCTGGCGAGTCGCCCGGCGGGTCTTTCAGAGACAAGCAAAAGAATCCTACGACGAAGAACCGTCAGCTTGGGGCGGAAAGTTGTCTGAGACCCAGCGTACCTTGCCCGACCAAGCAGGACCTGGCGTGGCGGACGAGCGGTGGATCGATTTACGGTTTCAAGAGGCGTTCGCTTGGAGAGCCCTGCGATTACCGACGAAGTTCCCGAACAGCAACCGCCCAACTCCCCGAGTGCCAGAACACCGAGCTACTGGTCAGGAGACAGCGCAGAGGACATCGGCAGCGACGCCAGCAGACATCTCCGGCAGCCACGTTACCATCGTCGCGCGGAGCTCATTGGGGAACGCAGGAGCGTCGCGGACGTCAAGCATTAGGGTGAAGCCGGGTGGAACGTTCGTCTGCGCTAGGCGTAAAGCAAAGTGAACTGCTAGGCAGCTTCCTGGCGGAAGCAATGACTGTCAGCGCGATCTGAGCAAAAACCTAGCGGGACCGTCCGGGACAGAGCAAGGGACAGGTCTTGCCTCGAAAGGCGTTAGCCTGGAGAGCAAAGCTTGTTCACCCTAGTCTGAGAATGGTGACACTTCCCTAAGCCCACAAGGCCGAATTCTCTGCGAGTCTAAGGCGCGACAAGCGACCCCGAGGCAGCGCATCGGCAAGCGAGCAGAGGCGGCAACTACGAGCGACCCGAGACACAGGAGCCAGCGGACGTCGAGTCAACACGTCGACAAGCCAGGAAGAGGAGCACTAGCAGCCGGCGAAGCCGGAGCAAGGAGATACCGAAGCCAGCCCAGCCACACAGCCGATGTACTAATACCACGAGAATAAATCCCACTGTTGCCATTTGAACCCTTTGTTTCCTCACTGATCTACGGGGCAGTCACGTCATATAAATTTGGTGGGACGAACACACAATCTTCTGAGCTAGCCGCAAGAATCTCGTAGCGAGCAGACAACAAAATCAGTTCGTTACATCTGGCGTCCAACGTGATTGTCCCAACACGTACGGCTTGGACCTTGATATGATCTCTCGAGCGATGTCGGAGTTGCTTAAAGGAAGGGCTTTGAAATGGTTCATCGCCAACATCAAGCAATGGAGAATCTGGGCAGAGTTTATAGAAAGCTTCCACACCTATTTTCTGCCAAGAGATTTCTTCACCAGGCTAGCGGACCAGGTCCGGCAACGGAAGCAAGGCTTCAGCGAGTCGTTCAAGGACTACATGATCGACATGCAGACGATGGTGAGGCCACTTAACTACTCTACGAAAGAGACGTTAAGGGTCATTAAAGAGAACTGCACCCCAAGCCTACGGATTTTCTTAAGAGCATACAAAGTGTCGGACCTGGATATGCTAATGATCCTAGCCGATGAGTACGAAGAACTTGAAAAGGAACGGGAACTTTTCGCACAGGAGGACAAGTTCTCAAAGACCAACTCAGCGTCACCAACGCAGGTAACATGCAGAAGATGCGAGGAGACAGATAACCAGGACACACGAGGAAATGACCAATGGTACCCACCACACCAAGCCAGACGACGGCAGGCAACAGACGCACCACGCGGAGCCCAATGGACACCACCCCCACAGCAACAGAGACAGCCAAACAATACCTTGTGGAGGCCACCAAGCAACACACAGAGGCCACAAGATGCCACCCATATCACAGACCCGCAGGAGATCTGTCGGAAATGCGGTGGGAAACCAGCGGCTGTTATTTTGCTAGATTTGTGGCAAGGTGGGTGTCAGGAGCGTCGATTGCTGCCAACGATCGGGAAATGGCCACCGATCTCAGCCGCAGAGAGCCGAGCGGTGATCGCATAATGCCACCTCTCCAAACTAACGGGCAAGCTAATCGAGGAGGAGCAGCAGTTGTTCGCAGCTGTGATGATTTGTGGGAACAGCTACAAAGCCACAATCGACACCGGAGCAACGGCAAGCTTTGCTAGCTAAGAAATGGCGGACAATATTGCTGCTCTAGGAAGGATTACAAGGACGAGACGGCAAGTTAGGTTGGCAGACGGAAGGTGCGGCGGAATTAATGCGCAGCTCGAGGTGGAGGTCGAATTCGGCAACAAACAAGTGACCATGAGCCTGTTGATTTTACCCGGAGTAGTGGATCCATTTGTGTTGGGATGGAACTTCCTGAAACAATTCGGAACCGAGACAAGGTGTGCTGGACACGAGATAATAATACCAGCCAGGAACCGACACAATGGGTGGCTCGAGGAGAAGCTATCAGTAGCAGTCGTGCAACAAGTAAACGAGTTGGACGATACTACAGCGTTCCTTGAGGCAGAGCTGGCAGACCTCAGCACAATGACGGGAACATCGAATATGGCAGAACACCAGATCTAAATGAAGGATGACAAGCCAATCAAGCAGAGATACTACCCCAAAAACCCAAAAATCCAAGGGGAAATCAACGCAAAGGTGGACGAGCTGCTCCAAATCGGGTCCATAGAGCATTCAAAGAGCCCATACAGCTCCCCCATCGTGATGGTGAAAAAGAAGACAGGCAAGTGGAGGCTGTGTATCGACTTCAAACAAATCAACGCGAAGTCAGTGAAGGATCCCTACCCAATGCCCCGCATAAGCTACATCCTAGATCAACTAAGGGTACATCAGCGCGGTACATCAGCAATTTGGACCTGAAGGATGGATACTGGCAGATCCCACTGGAAGAGAGTAGCAGGCAATATACAGCGTTCACGGTACCAGGCAAACGTTTCAGCGAGTTTTGGACCAAGTAATTGTGCCCGAGATGTCACCTCACGCATTCGCTTACCAGGATGATATAATAGTGATCGGTCGCACGCTGGAAGAACACAAACGAAACCTTAGAGAAGTGTTCCGGCGTCTAAAGGAGGCGAACCTGAGGCTGAATCCAGAAAAATGCCAATTCTTTAAGAAGGAACTGCTGTACCTGGGACATCGAGTGACTAGCGAGGGAATAGGAACAGATCCAGAAAAGGTAGCCGCCATCGCTGAACTGAAACCACCATCGACCGTCAAAGAGCTCCGGCAATACCTAGGAGTAGCGTCGTGGTACCGCCGATTTGTACCAGATTTTTCCAGAATCGTCAAACCCCTGAATGACCTGCTGCGCAAAGGCAGTATATAGCTTGATTTCTTTGCATTTCTGACTGTATCTTTCCACCTGATTGTGAAAAGAGAAGCCCTGTTACATTTCCCTGGGGTAGAGTCCCGAATAGCTTCCCAACTCGAAGATCGAATCGCCCTTAACGGTTAGCAGAGAATTCGCAGGCACTTCAAGAAGACTTCAAGCACACTAAGCTCAAAACTATACAGTTTAAATGTGAAATATGCACAGACCCTTTACTCTATAGAAATCACAACCAGCACGTTCGGGAACTGAGAGTACTAGGCTTAAATAACAAATAAGCAACATCAGTGTTGCAAAAGGATTGAAAACTAAAAACGATGGTGTTGTGAATGTGGTATTTCCTACACCGTATACTAAAATCATACTATACGGCCAAATTAAACAAAAATTAAGATTAACTTTTACTTAAGACTGCCACGACTTGTAAACGGTCGTGTGGTTTGAGCTGGCGCCCAGTCGTAAGTTCGGGAACGTACTCAACAATACATTTTTCTAGATCGCATATTTTTACACAGAACGCGGGGCCGCTTGGATGTGTTTGAACATAGTGCATCCAGATACATGCGTAAACGGAAATTTGGGAACGCATTCCGAAAAAAAAGTTATAGAACGCATTTTTTTAAAGCTAAGTGCATTGCATTGCGACGCTTTCTAGCTGTATTTAAAAAAGCTTCATCCTGGTTCATTTTGCTGCGAATGTAAATAACAAATATGAAACCCGAAAGTTGCCAATGGTCGTTTTTTTATGATCGTTTTTTTCGGTACGGTTCTCTTGTCAATCTAATAATAAAGACAAAAGGAATCATGCAAGGAAGAGCGCGGCTTTTCATGTGCCTTGCATTTCTTGCTAGTTGCATTTTTAATTCTGAAAAGAGAAGCTCGTGCCACGTGTTTTGGACAAGCCTGCTGTTTTCTACCACCAATTTTACATCAATATTTTCACAGGTAAGTTAAGTGTAGATAATGTAGTTCAATATGAACACAATAGAGTAAAATCAAAAAAACTGCAAAGGCATATGTACATAAGTGCGAAGTACAAATAACAATTGTACATAATTGTACAAATTCAATTCGCTTTATACCTTTCAGAATCGCTAAAAAGGGATGGTCACACCAAGATTTGAACTGCCTAAATGATAAAGTCTAGTTCTCTAGTAGAAAAATCGTATTCTTTGTAGTGTGACCGAAGTTTTCAGAGTTCAACCGAAACTAGGTTTGTTGACAAACGGAAAACAAACCAATTGGAGCAATTTAAAAGAGTCTGCTGGTGCACATAGAAAGTAAATTTTAAAAAATGGAATGTTCAGCGAATGTTTTTATTCATGTATTTTAGAAATATAAAGCTTCCTTCTCGTCCCGCGGATACTTCGACATCTGCAGTCCAGCTCCGAGTTCCAATAGGGATATTGGACGTTGAGGAAGTAGGAGCCGGATTGGGAACGGGGTGGTTCCGCCTGATACTGCAGGAAGTCGACCATCATTCAGACAATGGCTGGTAATGGCTCCTCCAGCTTCCCCCCTTTTTTCTCGTCCCTTTAGAACCCAGCGCGTCCGCCATCACCGCTTTAGCTACCAAGTAGCTGATGGAGGTGGAGTCCTGTGGTTCCCCATTGGAGAGCTCGTCGGAGAATGTTTCGGGGTTGTGCTAAAAAAATACTTCAATTAGAACAACGTAACCAAATTCTTTTGGCCGGAACTTACTTTGCAAGGACACGCTTGGTAGAGTCTCCATGTAGAGAGCGCAATCCCACTGGGATCCTCTAGTGGATCTTGCTTCCTGTCGGTGAAGTCCCACAATAAAAGGCAACAGCTTGGATTAGGCGTCCTTTTTCTTCTGCACTGACCTCCAGCAGGCTTATTTAGTGTTTTCCTTCAATTTTTCATTTTTAGTTTCCACATCGCAATTGCACGAACATTTCTTATTCTTTGGCCCGCGGCTAACGGCGTTTATCGAAAGTCACACGCTAAATCTGGTATTTTTTCTGGTATTTCCTTAGCTAATCTGAGTACCGCGGTGAAAAACAGACCCAACGAAAAGCGTTAGCCGCGTATTTGCATCTCGCTCCCTCCTATTTTTAGCTCGCGGTTTTCGTCTATGTAAGTACTAGGCTTAAGAGTACAAAAACAAGATGGAAGCAGAAAAGCCCGTACAGAAGGGGAGTGAATCCGATTTAAGATTAGTTGCGTTCTTAAATATTGAAATAAAAAAAAAAAAAAAAAAAATAATTAAAAACCTTTTCTATGTGTTCAATGAAAAAGCTTACAGACATTTATTTTTTGAAAGCGCATAGGTGCATTTTATAAATGCGTACAGAATGTACCTTTTTGGTATATAGGTGCATTCCTTTCTACAGCTTACGGGCGTATTCTTAATTGATGCGTACAGAATGTACCTTTTGGGTGCAGACAGACGCACTCTAAATATATTCACCTAGATGCATGCAAGAGATGCGTCCTTTTTTGTGCCATTTCATAATGAAAGAACAGGTACTGGAATGCAGATATTTTTCACTGGGGCCCGGCGAAGCCTCACGACCGTTCACAGGTCGGTGTTACGGAACAGCGCCGGAAGAGGACTCCAGAGTCATGACAGTGGGCACCACTATTCTAAAGCATTATTTTTTTTTCCATTTCGCCGTATAGCATGACCAAAGATAATATAGACCACAAGATGAGTAACAACCTTAAACGGAATGTACGGCAAAACTTTTGGTGTGGATTTTGGATCTTCCTAGTGTGCGGTGTCCGTGTAAGATTTTTTGGTTGTGTTAGTGTAATTTCCCAGTCGTAAATGACTGCATTCCAGCACCCGTTCTTTCATTATGAAATGTCATCAAAAAGGTGTTCCGAAAGTTATGACTCTATCCATTCCTTTTACACGGATGAGGGACAGAAAGGAAGATACCCGTCAATTCTCAAAGGTATTTACCCAAAACAAACGTTAAAAATACTCATCATTTGAACTTACTGCATGTTACATATAGAATAAAAACATTCACCGTGATTTAAATGTGGGATCTGTCAAAGACGAAATCGAGAATGTAAAAGCAAAGTATACAATCAAGCTACAAACTCATCCAAATAGGGTGATAGGCTTGTGCAGTCTCTAACCTGGAAGACTACCCATACACGACTCCGGCGAAGAGACCTCCCCACCCAGCAACAATAGCTTGGTCCGTTTTTTAAAAAACTCAATTGTAATTAATTAAATATATGTATTAGATTACGATTTGGCTACTTCTCGTCAGTCGCGAAGAGAGAAGATTCGTAAAATAAAACACCGTAATTTAAAAACAAGGAAGAACGCTATAGTCGAGTACCTCGACTATCAGATACCCGTTACTCAAAGGGAAATGGAGATATGCAAGCAGCAAAGCGAAATTAAAATGCGCCACCTACCGGCGGTAGACAGATTTAAGCGTTATGAGCGTTAGAGTGGGCGTGGCAAATTTATTTTTGGATCAATCGATAGGTATTGACGACACCAGTACATTTCAGTTAAAATTTTTCATCTAGCATCCAAATTGTGGGCGTCATAGGTTTTCGCGGTTTGTGGGCGTTTAAGTGGGCGTGGCAAACTTTTTTTTAGGTCAATCGATAGGTATTGATGAGAACAATACATTTCAGTTAAAATTTTCTATCTAGCATCAAAACTGTAGGAGTTTCAGTTTTGGGCGGTTTGTGGGCGTTAGAGTGGGCGTGGCAGTCTACTGAAACAAACTTGCGCTGCGTAAGAAGCTCAGGAATCTGTACGCCAAATCTCAATAGCCTAGCTCTCATAGTTTCCGAGATCTCAGCGTTCATCCGGACAGACAGACGGACAGACGGACAGACGGTCAGACGGACAGACGGACATGGCTAGATCGACTCGGCTAGTGATCCTGATCAAGAATATATATACTTTATGGGGTCGGAAACGCTTCCTTCTGCCTGTTACATACTTTCCGACGAATCTAGTATACCCTTTTACTCTACGAGTAACGGGTATAAAAAAGTGTAAGTTTGTTTTGCTTTTTGAAGGAAATGTGTTAAAATTATTAATAGTTATAGTTAATAGTTAACGGTTATTATAAAGAAATTTTATTTAAACGAATCTCATTTTCCCTGCCAGCAAAAATGCATATCTACACACGCACGCATCTAGGAAGAGAGAGAGCGATCGCGTTTTTAAATCGCTCCGAAATGTTCTAAAAGTTTTAAGGAACCATACCAGGAGAGGAGGCATATTTTGCTTCTACTGTTCCACTCTTTGTTTGTGTAGTTGTTGCTACATTTTTTCACTCGCGCTTTTACTTTGCAAAAACTTTGTTATTGGTGGAAAGTTCTTGCGCGACCAGCTGATTGAAGTGAGCGAAAGGGGCTACGGTTGCTATAGCAGCGAGCTTCGTACCGAAGCTTCTTATTCGTACATTTTATTTTGAAAAAAATATTGTTTTTGTAAATTGTAGTTTTAAGTTTATTTAAAAAGGGGAACCAATGTGAGACAGGAAGCACCAGCAAGCCCCAAAAACCTGGGAAGAAGCCAGGTCAGGGAGCCCAAAGCACGGCCGCCACGTACCGCCGCGATAATCATCGCAACCGCTAATGAAGGGCCCTACGCAGCTGAAGGAGCAAGGAGAGGTCGTACACTGCTAAGGGGGCGCACAGCTAAGGCGGAACTCCTAAAACCGCGGAGCTACAGAGTACCATAAAATCGGTCCTGGGCAGCAATGTTGACGTCAAAACGCTGACCGAGACACTGCTGATCGAGGGATAGTATATAGATAAGATCTCCGCAGTTAAAGCACAGTTTGACGTGGAACTGCCAAAATCCTCAGTGGTGAGTCTAGGTGCAAAGTTCGCCCAAAGGTAAGCCCTAAGAGATGCTTTAAGTGCATGGATTTTTCCATATAGCAGGAAGTGCCGCACTCAGGATGACTGCTCGAAATGCTGCTACAACTTCGGCGTTAGGGAGCACCAAGCCAGTAGCTGCACAGTAAAGGCCAGCTGCCTGCTCTGTAAGAGAAAGAAGGAGCAAAACGTTGACCTCCCAACAATGAGTGGCTACTACAGAAGGGCAAGACATGGGCTCAGGGGTAAATAAAGTTTCCTCAAATAAACCTCCAAATTTTGCTCGAGCAAAATGTCGCCGAGCGAAACGTAGACTTTGCACTCATAAGAGAACAATATAGAAATAACCAGGAAGAACGCTATAGTCGAGTACCCTGACTATCAGATACCCGTTACTCAGCTAATGGGACCAAAAGGAAATGGAGATATGCAGGCAGCAAAGCGAGAGTGAAATGCGCCACCCGTGATCTCAATATATGGTTATGTGGGCGCTACACAGATTCAAGCGTTATGGGCGTTAGAGTGGGCGTGGCAAACTTTTTTTTTTGGATCAATCGATAGGTATTGACGAGACCAATACATTTCAGTTGCTTTGATACCACCTTTAAAAAAACATTTATCCATTTGTCAATATTCTTGCTTTCATCAGAATTCTACTTGGATGTTGGAGACGGATGTGAGGAAAAGCCGTAAAACTATTTGCATAATCATTAATATTTGTTTAAACATAGAAATGCTATTTCAATTTGAGAATAATGAAAATTATTTTGTAATTTGCCCTTTAGAGGAAATGTGTTAAATCTGTTAATGAAATATTTTTTGCAAAAGGATATAAGAATTTAATATAAAGAATTTGTATATAAAGGAATCTCATTTCGCCCGTCAGCCATACACATACACGCACGGATATCCTGTTTTTAATATACTTGTTCTTATTGGTTTTCCACCTGGTTTAGATTTAATCGCTAATTTTTGTTCAATTAAACGCCTTTTTACATTTTTCGTTAAATATATGTATTTAAAAAAAACCAACCATTAAACCATGTGTTAAAATGGTTAAGCAAAGAAATAATACATGTGGTATTTTGCTTGTATGGGGACATATTTGACGGCTTGGCTATGTCCATATGCCAGATGCCATACGCCTTATGTTCTTTATACTTACCAAGCGTCTTCAAACTATTTCCGAACTTTTTTTTGTTCGTAACTTTTATACCCGTTAGTCGTAGAGTAAAAGGGTATACTTGAATAGAAAAAAGTTTGCCACGCCCACTCTAACGCCCACAAACCGCCCAAGCCTGTGGCGCCTACAATTTTCTATTGGAAAAAAATTGTAACTGAAATGTTATCAAAATACCTATCGATTGACCCAAAAATACTTTGCCACGCCCACTCTAACGCCCATAACGCTTAAATCTGTCTACCGCCCACATAACCACATAACCCACAGGAGTAGGTGGCGCATTTCAGTCTCGCTTTGCTGCATGCATATCTCCATTTCCCTTTTGTTCCTTTAGCTGAGTAACGGGTGTCTGATAGTCGAGGTACTCGACTATAGCGTTATTCCTTTTTTTACTTCTCTTACCTTACTTTACTTTTCTTTACTCTGTGTAGATTGGAAAATGCAAATGCAATTTCAAGTTAAACAGCCGCTTTTGTGATAACATACCGACATTCTTAAAATCGTTTCTTCTTGACCAACACAACGAACGAAATATGACGATAGCAGACATAGAAGTACAATCATTGCATGAATACTCAATAGGGAAAACTCTGACGAGCAATGAAAATACAAATGATTTAAGTTTATTTGCAGTATATGCAGTCCATAAAAGTGTCGTACACCAAACGGTAAAAATGTTAGCTATTACACTATTTAAGGTCATAAACTACACCTATAAAAACGGAGATTATGTGATACTGGATAAAATTGAAGTGGCCAGAGAAAAATTAAAGTCACGGGATGCCAACAATTCAAACGCAACAATTCGAACATTCATTTTAGAAGATATACATCATTTGGTAGTTTTGGAAGAGCCAAATGCCAAGCTATTAGGTTATCACCAAAACATGAGAAGCTTCAGCGTTTCTTTAGGCAAAAAGAGATATTTCTCTAAGTAGTCTGGCTGGTATTTGTAGTGATGGTGAAGATACTAATAATGGTAAGTCGTATTGCCATTTCGCCAGCTATATTCAGCGTTAGAATCCGCAACCAGTAATCGAAATACTGATTTTTATGCCCTTGCAGAGGGTATAATGATATCAGTCAGAAGATTACAACTCAGTGAAGGAGATGTTTCCGACCCCATAAAGCATATATATTCTTGATCAGAATCACTAGACGAGTCAATCAATCCATGTCCGTCTGTCCGTTTCTACGCGAACTAATCTCTTAGTTTTCAGGCTATCGGATCGAAACTTTCCCAAAAGTCTAATTTCTATCTTGTATTATTTTGTCTAATACTAAATAAGTCGGAACGAGCCTGATCCAACAACTATCTCCTATAGCTCCCATAGGAATGATAAAAAAAATATTTTTAGACAAATTAAAAAAAAAAAGGATGAAGGCTATAGTCGAGTACATCGACTATCAGGTACCCGTTACTCAGCTAAAGGGACCAAAGGGACCTTGCTTGCAGCAAGGCGAGATTGAAATGCGCCACCACCCGCGATCTCAATATATGGTTATGTGGGCGGTAGACAGATTTAAGCGTTATGCGCGTTAGAGTGGGGGTGCCAATGATAGTAATGATAGCTTCGTTGTTTTATGACATATTAAGTTCTACTCTTGGGAATGTCATTCTCTTAATACCAGAATCTCGAACAGAATTTTGATGAAATCGGACGACCATCATATTGCTGCCAAGGGAACAATCGGCTAATTAATGTCAAAATAATTCGTAGACCGTTAAATTTCGTTTTCGGCATACAAGGTATTAAATTGAAATGGAACATTATCTTAAAAATTGTATAATTGGTTTTTAGTTCTCTAAGAATCGGAAAGTGAGTTGATCCACGGAATCGACCTGCAAGGGTATAGAAACTATGACGTGCCGAAATGAGCTTCCTTTCTTATTATACCCGTTACTCGTAGAGTAAAAGGGTCTACTAGATTCGTCGGAAAGTATGTAACAAGCAGAAGGAAGCGTTTCCGACCCCATTAAGTATATATATTCTTGATCAGGATCACTAGCCGAGTCGATCTAGCCGTCTGTCCGTCTGTCCGTCTGTCTGTCCGTGCGGATGAACGCTGAGATCTCGGAAACTATGAGAGCTAGGCTATTGGGACTTGGCATGCAGATTCCTGAGCTTCTTACGCAGCGCAAGTTTGTTTCAGCAGGGTGCCACGTGCCCTCTAACGCCCACAAATCACCCAAAACGGTGGCTCCTACAGTTTTGATGCTAGAATACAATTTTTAACTGAAAGGTATTTTTCTCATCAATACCTATCGATTTACCAAAAAAAAAGTTTGCCACGCCCACTTCAACGCCCACAAACTTCAAAAAATCGTAAATATTGAGGCGGATATCTCGAAAACTATCAAAGATAAAAACTGGGATTTCAGATTTAGATTCCGTAGCCTTGTACGCAGCGCAAGTTTGTTACGCGAATATGCCACGCCCACTCTAACGCCCACAAACCGCCCAAACCTGTGGCGCCCAAAATTTTCATGCTAGAATACAAGTTTTAACTGAAATGTATTAGTCTCGTCAATACCTATCGATTGATCCCAAAAAAAGTTTGCCACGCCCACTCTAACGCCCACAAACCGCCTAAGCCTCTGGCGCCCACAATTTTCATGCTAGAAAAAAATCTTTACTAAAATGTATTTGTCTCGTCAATACCGATTGACTAACCCAAAAAAAAGTTTGCCTTGCCCACTCTTACGCCCATAACGCTTAAATCTGTCTTTCGCCCATATAACCATATATTGAGATCGCGGGTAGGTGGCACATTTCAATCTCGCTTTGCTGTTTACATACCTCAACATCCCTTTTGTCCCTTTAGCTAGGGTGATAGAGTTATACAAGTAGCAAAGCGACTTTTTCTAAGATTGCACACTTAACTTGCTTATAACTGTTTAATGAATGACCTAAATTTAAATATTTTCGGCATTTAGTTGTACATTGATAATAAAAGCAAAGTCTCATTTACATTTTTCAAAAATATTCAAAACTGTGGGTGATAGAAGGGTGTTAACGTTATGGGCGTTAGAGTGGGCGTGGCACCCCGTTGAAACAACCTTGCGCTACGCAAGAAGCTCAAGAATCTACATGCCAAGTCCCAACTTGCATACGTTCATACAGACGGACAGACAAACGGATACGGCTATATCGACTCGGCTGGTGATCCTGATCAAGAATATATACATACTTTATAGGGTTGGAAACGCTTTCTTCTACCTGTCTTTCTTTTATTGTAATAGACGTATGATTTCATATGCATAGTATTAATATATTATATAAAGTATTTAAATAAAACATACCATCAATATTTCCAATATTCAGTTCCTCAATTTTCTCTAACGCAAAATCCTTAACTAAATCTGATTCTATTTTCGACAGTTTTATCAATAAAGTTTCAACAATTTGAAACCTTTCGCCAGATTCTGAAATCCACGTACAATTGTCCTGAAATTGATTTCAAATAGTTAAGTAGCTTTAGCATTATTAAATCTTTTCAATTAAGTTTTCTTACCGAAGGATACCACCTTACATAAGGCAAGGGTAAATTCATAAAACCTTTAGAGAAATTGCGTTTACTTTGGCTTTTGGAACGACTTCGCCAAATTTTTTTAGTTACAAATTGTCCAACATTTGATAGTGATTTTGATTTCTGCATGTTTGCTGATTCATTCCCAAGATCTAGAAATGGTAGAAACATAACAAGAAAAGTTACTCAATTTTAATTTTGTTGAAAGGTAAATATCTTTAAATATTGTAAATCTTAAGTATTAGTAGTCACTTTAGTCCACTGCTGGTACATTTTTAAATTGCCAATAAACTGAATCCTCGATGACCGAAATCGGTTTATTAGCACTATCATGAAACGTTATTGAATAACGATAAAGTCGAGTGCGTGACTATAAAATACCTGTTACTCAGCTAAAGGGAGAAAAAGGGAGGTGATGTGCAAGCAGCAAAGCGCGATTGTAAGGAGCCACCTGCAGACAGATTTAAGGGTTATGGGCGTTTATTGGGCGTTAGAGTGGGCGTGGCAAACATTTTCTAGGTCAATCTATAGGTACTGTCGAGACCAATACATTTCAATTAACATTTTTGCTCTGGCATCGAAACTGTGGGCGTCACAGTATTGGGCGGTTTGTTAGAGTGGCAGTGACATAGGGTATAAAAAAGGGTTTCATTTAAAGACAAATTAAACCCTTTACCATTTATCTGTGTAATTTTAAATTTAATATTATCAAAAGGTTTAATCAACTAATCGGTTGCCTCAGGGATTCTCATGGATGTCTCACAAGTTCTTGGCCCAAGAGTAAACAAATTTTTGTGGGACCTCTGCTTCTTTCAAATATTTTAATTATTAATGAACTGTATTTGTTATTATACCCTTTACTCGTATAGTAAAAGCGTATACTAGATTAGTCAGAAGGTATGTAACAGGTTGAAGAAAGCGTTTCCGACTCCATAAAGTATATCAGGATCACTGCCGAGTTGATCTAGCCATGTCCGTCTGTCTAGTTATCCGTATGAACGCTGTGAGCTCAGAATCTGTAACAGATTAGGCATGCAGATTCTAGAGATTCTTGCGCAATGCAAGTTCGTTTCGTCAGCGTGCCACGCCCACTCTAACGTCCACAAACCTCTACAAACCTCAAAAAATCGTTGATGTGAACGCGGATATCTCGGAATCCATCAAATATAGGGTATTGGAATTTCAGATTTACATTCGTTAGCTTTGTACGCAGCGCATAAGCCACGCCCACAAGCCGTTGAAAACTGTGACGCCCATAATTTTAATGTTAAAAAAAAATTAAACAGAAATATATAAGTTTAACCACGTCCGCTATAACGCCCATAACGCTTTTATCTGTCTGCGGCGCATGACAATCTTGCTGTGATCTTTGTATATCTCCATCTCCCTTTGGTCCCTTTAGCTTCGTAAGAAAAAGCGAAAAGCACTTAACGTTTTCACCAGTAGGTGGAGCCAGTTCGCGATATCGGAAGTAGTCGCTCTTGCGCCCACATTTTTAAATAGAGATTTAGGATTTGATATGTAGTTTATTTTTGTGCCTTTTAGCCCATGTGTTCTTCAGCTAAGTGCCACGCCCACTCTACCGCTCAAAAATGCCCATAAGCTGCTTTCGAAGCTAGGGAGTTAGAATTTGGCATGGAGAATCTACTAGTGCCTATGAGGCCCATGTTTGGTTCAGCCAAGAACCACGCTATATATATTTTTGGTCTAATAATGAAAATGCTATTGTTTATCATCAAAAATGGTTTTATTGTTTTTCAAAGTATTTCTTCGCCATATAAACATTTAAGTTCATCAATGCACTCTTGTCGTGATAACCCACTTCGAAAGTTGTGAAAAATAATTGCCCGAAAATGTTCAGGAGTTAATTCCAATTTTCAGCAATGAATTTGTAAATTGCAAAACCTAACAAAATGGTATACAAAATATTAGAAAAGAAAACTAGCACAACAAATATTTCTTGTCAAACCAATGCATATAGTAATGTGTACGGCCTCGACTATTACATACGATATCTAACAAAAAAGGAAGCTAGCTTCTGCAGGCCGAATTTTCTATACATACATATACATTGTATGTACAGGTCTATCCAATTTTTAGATAACTAACAACAAATAACAAACATTTTAAGATAATGTTCCATTTGAATTTCCTACCGTGTACGTTTACCAAAAAAGGAAATGTAATGGTCTATGTATTATTTTGACATTAATTTTCATATGGCGGCTATATGATGAAGTCGTCCGATTTGATTTAAATTTCAATCGAAACTTTGAAATATTAAGCGAATGATATTCCCAAGAGTAATAGTTAATATGTTTTTAAAAATAGTTGTCGGACCCGGCTCGTTTTGACTTATACACTACCTCTAATACAAATAAGATATTTGAGAAGGTTTCATCCCGATAGCTTTAAAATTGAGAGACTAGTTATCATAGATACGGACAGACGGACATGATCGACTCGCCTATTGATGCTGATCAAGAACAAATATACTTTATGGGGTGGGAAACGTCTCCTTAACTGCGTTGCAAAGTTCTCACTAAAATTATTATGCCCCCAGCAAGCCTATGCAAGCAAAGAGGAGAGACTTTTATCATCGAGTACATTGACTATCAAGTACCTGTTAAAGCATTTTCACACTTTTTACCTGGACGAACTCCATTTTAAGGATGGCCACTATAACACTGCGTGCATGTTCGTTCAGTTCAAAACAGGCATGAAAAATGACGACCCCAATATTTATTAACCCATTATGCATTGTGCGGTTTTTTCTAAGGCAATTGTAATGTGTATTACACTTCCAGACGAACTGTTTCGGGTTGAACTGCGTACATAACGTGCTGGAAAGAGACGGGGAAACTCGCTTCAGGAGAAAATCGGACCGCACATGCAAATCAATTCAGTATTTTAGTGTTTTACAAAGTATTTTTTACGAGTTTAGCTTATTTCTTTACTTGGCATATCGACATTTTTTTGAGAAGAAAATGCACTTTGACAGGAATGCCGCCGTTATAAGGAAATTTTTGTTTGTGCAGGACCATTAATTTTACTCAACGAGTAACGGGTATAAAGTGTTTGGAAAGTATATCTACCAACGAATATACATTAATCCATACTTACTTAAATACGGACATTTGTCGGGTAATGTGTTAATATGGCTTCCTGCATTACTATGCCCGTGCAAAATGCTTGAAATAAACTGAGAACTTGAAGAAAGTAATCCGCTAGACGTCCTTATAGCCTTTTCCAACTTAGAATGGCTGGTTGGCGATGTAGGAGCAGATTTGCAGGTTGAATAATGTGAGATGTTTTCCCGATCATGTATATGTGGAGTATGCACTTCTTCATCAAATTGTGACTGTTTTTTTTGCCACTCTAACTGTTTCTGTTTTCGTTCATCCTCAGATCTTATCCATTCTATGTGAGCGTTTTGCAGGTATGTAGAACTTTCGTTTCCCTTAATAAAATCCAATGCTATAACTGGCCAAGCATCTAAAGTTTGTACAGCCTTATTCAATCCATCATTGAGTCCTGGTGGATTAATTTCGCCCTTTGCTTTTATATTTCTGAGACTGTGATCATAGTTAACCGATTTAAATCGATTTGACTCAGAACCTTGTACACTTTTCTTTCTCGCCATTTTCAGATAACGTTTAATGGTATCGCTTACTGACTGAGAAATGTCTTCGTCTATCGAACTCTTTCTACAGCTCAAACGTGAAGAAGTTAAACCATCCTGTTTATCAAATTCTTGCAATACTTGTAAACTATTATCGCTGTTTTGAACCATACACTTGTATTGTTCCGCCAAACTTTTTAGTTCGCTAAGTTGAATAAAACTAGTTTGAGTTCCACAAGATTTCAGGCTTCTATCAATTTTTTGATCTTTCAGAAGACACTTGTTTGGAAACTCGAAGCTTTGTATAACACTGTTGAGATCTAAATTATTTGAATTTTTCGCGATTTTCGAAATTTTGCTAGTATCACATTTTTTTACACATAGGAAATTTTGGTTTATTTTCTTTTGGTCCTTATGGGATATACCACTAGACATACTTTCATGTGCGCCAATTTTTAAGCAAGACAAAGAAGTTGACCGATTAACACTTTTTTTATTCGGTTCCTTGGAATGTAGGGTCCGATGAAGCTGTTGTTTCTTGAGGGTGCTGTAGATTTTCTTCAATAGTACTTTGTCCTCAAGTATAGTCTCAGGTGAATCGCTAAATTCCAACTGAATTCCCTCTTGTGCAAACATAAGGCCACTAGAAAGAAGTTTCAGACGGCAAATGAGTTCTTTTTGAAGAGTCATGTCAGAGGACATTGTTTGATCTTTTTCATTCGTGTTGACAAAATTTGGTCTCTGTGCACTAGGTGATGATGTTTGGTCAGGTCGAACCGTTTTTGAACCAAGTAACGTTGTTGTTTTGTACGCATCGCGAAGTTTAAGAAACGTCTGCAATAACTCGATAGTTCGATCGGCGTTATAATAACTATTTGTTGTCTCAAGTCTATTTTCTCTACGGCTGGAACACGCGTGCCGAGACAACTGTTTTAATCTTCGCTTAGAGCTGTTGATTGCTCCTGGGTACGAGGTTCTTCGACTCCACAAAATAAAACTCGGTTCAGATAAACACACTCGTTGAAAATGTTCTTCTAGTAACTCAAAGTTGTCTGACCCTGCCTGATAGCTATCAGGAATAAGCTTCCGACCAGCATCTGTCATATATCTCCACGTTTTTCGAGTTAAAAGCCAGCGCTCTCTTTTTTTTTCCTTGTCTTTTGCGCTACGACGTCGTATCCTATTTCCAGAAGGAACTCCTCCTGAGTGCTTGCTTGTGAAACTATTTGGCTTACGTATGTTGAGGACATCTGAAGATGGCGATAAGGATATTTGCGATCCATGTAGATTATCGTTCACCTCGTCAAGCGCTTTATTCAGCGGTCCTGACCTTTTTTTTATGGCAGCCACAGGTCTTCTCAAGGTCGTCAGGTACTTTGCCGGTTCTTTGTTTTTTTTTGGAAAGTCCATATTATATTGACACATAAAGTCTGTAGTACATATATTTATTTCCGTGAGTATAAATAATTTCTTAGTGCAGTATATTCTTTGTAAAAGCGTGATGGAGAATAAATTACTGTGTCTGACACTATTTTACATACACATTAAATTTCTAAAACGTAAGCCCACAAAAAAATGTTTAGTTGAAGATTTTAAAAGCACAAAACTTATTTTGAAAACAGTTGTACGGGGATTTAAAATTGATTATACTCCGACACTAGTAAAGGAGCTATGTAACCACATTCGTTTATTTATAAGTGCATATTTTTTTATGGGCGAATCCGATATACAACAAAATGGGTATATCTACATATGTACGTGTAGATATACTTATATTTAATTTTTGGGCTCCGGAGAAATTATATATTGTAATAATTATAACACTATTAAATTTTCAGTGCTTTTGTATTACAACTTCAATCAATGTTTAACATAAGAGCACGCAAAATAACACCAAATGCCAGGCGAGAGAGCATGTACATATGAAAAGAAGGAAAATTATTTTCTGAAAAACACATGAAGAGATTCCGAAGTTCACGAGATATTATTTTTGGTATACAACCAACAAGCATACATATGTACGAGTATAGCCACATACATATAAACGTTTTCGTTTCTGAAAAACACACTTAGGAGCATGGAACATGTTTTATATTTATAAACAAGATTTTCGCGGACAAACACAAAAATATTCTTGTTTAAAAGATAGTTTTACTTTATATTTTCTATTTTTCTAGCGTATCTGACATACCTGTTGGTGAGTTTTATAAATATTTCCGGACTTATCTTTTTATACCCTCAGCCGAGGGTATTATGATTTCAGTACAGATTTTAGTTAAAATTTCAGAATTTCGGATAAAACTGTTTTTATTTTTATTGATCTTAATATCTTCCACTCGGGGGCAAATCGTTATTTTAAGATTTAAGAGTTTCGATTTTGAATGTTAAAATTTATTTACAAATGTTACGTTATATCTATATATAAATGTTGGGAATGTACTGATTCTGTAATAATCGTACGATTTTAAATCCATATCAACTTGCCAAAGTAAGCTTGATTTTTAAAATTTTCTTTATAATAAACCTTCATTTTGATTGGTACTGAACTCTGTACATGGTAAAGCACACTGAAAAATAAAAAATAAATTTGTTTATATATTTAAGAAAAATAAATTAAAAAAATTGTATTCATTTTCGATGGAATTAGAATGGATTAGAAAAATTCTCCGACTAATCCGAAGTTATAAAATTCCGAGTGCAATTTTATCCGAAAAGTGCCGAAAATGGAATATTTACACCCCTATAACTCAAGAAAATTCAACATTTGTTTAAAACTCTTTAAATATGGCCCATGATCCTTGGACATCTTGAATCTTTGCAAATAAACGCAAAAAACTCTGCTTGCATTAACCAACCTAGTAACTATGGACGGCAGTACACGTAGTAACGAAGCTCACCAGGACAGTGTGCGAAGGTGACTAATATATAAGTCGCAGACTTCAAAATCTTCATCGAGGGTCCGATAATAACAAGTGATACATCGACAGAAAATAATTTTGATTTTTATACCCGTTACTCGTAGAGTAAAAGGGTATACTAGATTCGTCGGAAAGTATGTAGCAGGCAGAAGGAAGCGTTTCCGACCCCATAAAGTATATATATTCTTGATCAGGATCACTAGCCGAGTCGATCTAGCCATGTCCGTCTGTCCGTCTGTCCGTCTGACCGTCTGTCCGTCTGTCCGTCTGTCTGTCCGGATGAACGCTGAGATCTCGGAAACTATGAGAGCTAGGCTATTGAGATTTGGCGTACAGATTCCTGAGCTCCTTACGCAGCGCAAGTTTGTTTCAGTAGAATGCCACGCCCACTCTAACGCCCACAACCCTCCCAAAACTGTAACTCCTACAGTTTTGATGCTAGATAGAAAATTTTAACTGAAATGTATTGTTCTCATCAATACCTATCGATTGACCTAAAAAAAAGTTTGCCACGCCCACTTAAACGCCCACAAACCGCGAAAACCTGTGACGCCCACAATTTGCATGCTAGATAAAAAATTTTAACTGAAATGTATTGGTGTCGTCAATACCTATCGATTGATCCAAAAATAATTTTGCCACGCCCACTCTAACGCCCATAACGCTTAAATCTGTCTACCGCCGGTAGGTGGCGCATTTTAATTTCGCTTTGCTGCTTGCATATCTCCATTTCCCTTTGAGTAACGGGTATCTGATAGTCGAGGTACTCGACTATAGCGTTCTTCCTTGTTTTCTTCTTCGGTAGTAAGACCTTTATTAAGTCGATTGCTTTAGGAAAAATTGTGGTGAAAGTACAAAAAGTTACATTTAGAAGATTTAAGCTAGGGAAACCGGAGAAGCAAAATGTACCGTTCTTTTAATTTGCCCACATTCTTTACCGAAAAACACGTCGATTGGTTCCAAAACCATTGCAATATGATACTCTATTGCAAGGTTATGTTTGTCGGTTTGCGTTATTATACCCGTTACTCGTAGAGTAAAAGGGTATACTAGATACTAGATTCGTCGAAAAGTATGTAACAGGTAGAAAGAAGCGTTTCCGACCCCATTAAGTATATATGTACATTCTTGATCAGGATCACTAGCCGAGTTGTAAACGCTGAGATCTCGGTAACTATAAGAGCTAGACTGTTGGGACTACGCGGCGCAAGTTTGTTTCAGAGCAGCAGAGTGCCACGCCCACTCTAACGTTTACAAACGACTTTAACCCGTCGAGACCATCGACTATAGAGTATTCTCTTGTTTTTAGTGGTACGGTCTTGGCATTTTTATCCTGCTATGCGATAGTTAATTTAATTAGAAGATGGTATATGTATTACATTTTTGCCAAAAAACTTGATATAAGAACTTATGTATGCTGAAGGTGCGATCGTCACTAGTTTTTTGCCTCGACAAGATGTTATTTGTTTGTTAGTAAAATAGGCCCAACAATAGTAACTTTTGCGAAACAAGTTGACGTTAGGCTTTCTATAAAAAATAGTTATGACATCATCGATTGTAGTTAAATAAGTATTTTTATTATACCCATAATATAGTTCGCGAACTATTTCTTATAGGAAATATATATAACAAGAATTTGTATACCAATGCTGTTATAATTATTAAATTTAAAAATACAAAAAATTATATTCCCAATAGTATAAGATAATATGTCAAAAAACACCGAAGCTATAATTTGTTTCATATTATTTTCCAGCCAATTTTCTGATCGTTGCTATGGCAGCTATATAATATAGTCGTCCTAATTTGATAAAACTAAATTCGAAATTCAGAACTAATTTAAAAAAAAAAGGTAGGAGGTTATATGTTAAACAAGAAAGGAAGTTAACTTCGGCAAGCCGAAGCTTGTATACCCTTGCAGCTATAATTATTAAATTTAAAAATACCAAAAAGGATATTTCCAATAGTATAAGATTATATGTCAAAAAACACCGAAGCTATACATTGTTTCATATTATTTTCCCACAAATTTTTCGATGTTCCTATGGCAGCTATGTCAGCTCGCCTAGTGATGCTGATCAAGAATATATATACTTTATGGAGTCGGAAACGTCTCTTTCACTGCGTTGCAAACTTCTGACTGCCCTTTGAAAGGTTATAACAAGGAAGACCGTGTAGTCGAGTGCCTCGAATCTCAGATACCCGTTACTATCTTATTGTTTTACCTCGGGAGTGACAAACATATTTCAGATCAAGCGATAGGTATTGACGACACCAAAACCTTTCAGTTAACATTTTTTCTAGCTCCTAAACAGTAGGATCCACAGTTTTGGGCAAACTTTGCGCTGCGTAAAAATCCCTCCTTCAACATTTTCAAAATTCATTCGTTGAGCGATAGATATTCTTCTTTAAAAACAAAAACATAAATTTAAGACTTGTTCTCCAAAAGTAACGCTATTTATCGTAGTGCAAGTGTATATTACCCTTTAAATTACTCAAAAATAATCATAGAGCAATAAGAATTAATATGATAAATTTTAAAATCAGGGTGGTATGTATAGATTGGGAAAAGTTTCTGATGTAATGTTAATTTAATGTTCAATTTAGCAATTATATATTAATGAAATATGTATGAACGTTGTACATGGGTAGATCGACTCGACTGTTTATGCTGATCAGAGCTGTGACTATTTACCTGCTTTTGCAATTCATTACTCATTGCATTAGAAAAAAATAATAATACTAATTAAAGCACTTTTCATTGGTACTGAAAACTACTTCATTGATGTCCCAAAAGAAATGATACGGAAAATATTTTTTATTATATGTCCCAAAAGTAATGCCACTGAAAACATATTTCACTAGATGTTCCAAAAGCAGTGCAACATTTAAAAAAAATCAATACTGAAAATATATTTCATAAGAATCCCCAAAAGTAATGCTAACGAAAAACCAACCCCAAAAAATGATATTAGTTAAATTATATATAGCAACCCAAGGATGACAAATAAATGAAACGTGAATCCTTTAGAAAGAGAGATACCATTACATTGGGAAATCATTACAAGATCCCGCGTCGCCACGAAAATTTTGATTTAAGGTGACAGATTACATTTGACATTTCAAAGCCTTTTAAAATATCCTATAATTAGGAACATTTATATTTTTAAAACATTTTATTGGCTTTTAAAATAACAAGCTTTTTAAAATGACAGATCAATTTAGTCTCTTCTTGCAGTTAACCATCCCTGCTAGCCAAAGAGGCGCTCTACTAGTACAGAAGAGGGCAACTGGGTAATGTATTTTAGGAATGTGATTCCAATGACCAACCAAATAGCGATCGAATCAAATTTTTCGCATATTCAAAACCCTTGAAATCTGAGATATATTAAAGAGAGCAAAATAAAAACGACACGACAAAAGTTATATATGTTCGTGGCTACTACTACAAAGGCTACTTCTCAACCGAATCAAATTTAATTTCCGGTTAAATTCGTTTCATTAGTTTTTAGTGAGCTGCAGTCAAAATTATGAGTGAAATTCAAAAATACCTAGCCAATCTTCAGAAAGCTAACAATTCCTAGTGAAGGATATAAAGACTCGACTTCTTGATATCCTTTTTAATAGACTTTGGTATAAAAACTAAAAAATACTTTAAAAACAGAATGATAATTAAAATTTGTACCAATTATTACTTTTAAGAAACTATCGAAATATAATTTCGGTGACATCTTTTTAGAATGCCAATGAAATGTATTTTCAGTAGCATTACTTTTGGGATATTTAATGAAATATATTTTTAGTGGCATTACTTTTGGGACATCTAATGTTTTTTTTGGCATTACTATTTTTCAATGTCAATGAGATTTGATTTTAGTAGCATTTTTTTAATACCAATGAAAAATGTTTTTACTAGCATCACTTTTGTTTATTGATAATTAAAATTCAAAGCTATTGCCTATAGTCACAGCTCTTAACTGAGCTTTGGTGATCAAGAATATACATATAACTCACAAACAAACTTTTTGTAAAGGAGTTTAAGAGTTGTTGGCGCCCCACAATTTGTTTATATTTTTAAAGGAGCATAGGTGCTTATGGTTTGCTCACACTGTATAGGTGCGCATGGTGAACAGGGTGCATACTCATAACAGTAGACATGCGCGAATATTTTCAGGGATGCAGGACATCTAAAAGTTCCGTTGAAAGCCAACTCACAATAACTTTGCAAAGGCCTGAGTAGGGGTTGAAACAAGCTTACTGCTGAAAAAAAATATTATCGATACCAACTGCATAAGTGAAAGAGTTGAGCTTTTTATAAAAATACAAGCAATCAAATATTCTTTTATGTACATATATCAAAAGTACAGGTCGCAAAAACAGTAAACCTTAAAAAACACAACTTTATTTATTTCCTGCACTTAATATTTATTGGAAGCCTATATAGAGTGTTAAAACAAAGTTTTCGGATACTAAATTCGTCTTAGTATATGTAAAAATCTTTCGCGAGTATGTGCTTTTTTCGTATGCTTAAATAAATAGATTGTATCATTATATTCCAACTTTAAGAGTAATCGTTGTAAATGAATTAACGCAATATGACGCGTGGCAATAATGCCACTTACTCGGATAATTCCTCAATTAAAATCAAGCCATTCATTATTTTGATCTTGAATTTTAACATATGCCTTCACCAAATTAATGCATCTTCATTTTTAAATCTAAACGGTGAGTTACAATAATATTCCCCACCTAGGTATTTTTACAAAGTTTTTAAATTTCAATTCCTTTCAGATTTAACCAGTTCTGATAGACCTTTTTTTGATGATATAAGCCCAAGGAACGTGTCTGCTGTCGTTGATGAAATTGCAATTTTGAGATGTCGTGTTAAAAATAAAGGAAATCGCACGGTAAGTCCATACAAATACAGATATTCCTAAAAGAACAAATTGTGTTATGCTAAATAATATATGACATTTTTATACCCTTGCAGAAAGTATTAAATTTTGGACAGAAAAATGTCTGACAATTTTATACCCTTGCAGAGAGTTTTATATTTTGGACATAATTTGTACCGTTGTGAAGGAGACGTGGCATTAATACCGTTTGCGAGGTCCTACTTGAAGAGCTGTGGGCATCAAATTGATTTCCGATTGTTTCCATAGGGAATATAGGCCAAACTTCAAACATTTTTTGCCAGTTCAAAGGTAGCATTCAACATTAAATCGTATTTTTTATATAAACTCTGAACTGGCCAAAAATTCTTGGCGTTCGGGCGGCTACCATAGCCACACTTTTATAAGAGGTCATAATTAAATGTTTTTCCATTCTGATATTTGTCTATATTTTTAAAACCTTTCAGAGGGTATAAAGATTTAAGTCGAAAGTTTGCAACCCAGTGAAGGTGGAGTTTCCGACCCCATAAAGAATATATATTTTTTATCAGCATCACTGCCGAGTCGATTAAGCCATGTCCGTCTGTCCGTCCATCTGTCCGTTTTTACGCGAACTGGTCTGTTAGTTTTAAAGCTAAATGCGAAAGTCTTATTTCTACTGCAGGTAGTATATAAGTCGGAGCGAGCCGGATCGGAAAACTATATCCTATAGATCCCATAGGATGATCAAAAATATATTTTTTATTGAATCAGCTTTGTCGGTTTTGTTTAAGATTGAGATTAGAAAATTTCATCTTAGTATGCTTTGTGAAACCAGCTGTCATTTATTAGAGACGAAAACATGAAGAAAGGCTTAAGTCGTGTGTCTCGACTATCAGATATCCGTTTCTCGTTTTCAAATGTCAAATTAAATAAAGTTCCACTGCATCTGCGCGCCAGATACGTTTTGATTAATAAAATCCATTTCAATTTCCACTGAAAGAAAACCTTAAAAAATATGAGCGTCAGACAGATTTTGCCGTGCTGCGCACGCTTAATGCCAACATTCTAGCTCTTAAAGTTTCCGAGAAGCCAGCGTTCATACGGATAACTACACAAATGGACATAGATAGATCGAATCGGCTAGTGATTCTAATCAAGAATATATATAATATATAGGGTCGGAAAAGATTCCTTTTACCTGTTACATACTTTCCGACGGATATAATAAAACCTTTTAATCTTCGAGTAGCGGGTATAATCATATGAAACAAATTGTAGCCTCGTTGTTTTTTGACAATATTGTCTTCGAATTAAGTCTTTTGATTGGATGACTATATCATAGAGCTGTCATTTGAACAACAGGAAAAGTAATGACCAATTAATAATAAAATCTATCTTTCTGGTTGTTGATCATATTTCCCCGATTTTTTCCCAATAAAATTCCAGTTTCTGAAAAATTAGAACATAATATTCTAAAGAGGAGAAGATAATATGTTACATAGCACCGAAATCAAAGTTTTGTTTTAAATATTTTCAATTATTTTTCCTATGGAAGCTATGTATATGGTATAGTTTTTCGATCCGGCTGATTCCGACTTATATACTATCTGCAATAGAATGAAGACTTTTCGGAATGTATCATCCCGATAACTTTAAAACAAAATCGCGTAGAAACGGATAGATCGACTCTTCTAGTGATCAAGAATATATATATATTTTATAGGGGTGGACGTGTCTCGGACATGTACAGTCAACAGTATAGGTATTTAAAGCTGAAATGTGCATGAAAAAACAGAAGGAAAAACGGAACAGTGATATCCTCCGGATAGATAACGATTTCAACATCATATTCGAAAACGTTGGGGGATGACCGGGCGGTTTTTGTTAAAATTATTTGTATACCCTTGCAAAGGATATTATGATTTCAGTCAGAATTTTGCAACGCAGTGAAGGAGACGTTTCCGACCCCATAAAGTATATATATTCTTGATCAGCATCACTAGACGAGTCTAGCCATGTCCGCCTGTCCGACAGTCCGTCCGGTTCTACGCAAACTAGTCTTTCAGTTTTAAAGCTATCGGTCTGAAACTTTCCCAAAGGTCTTATTTCTTTTGCAGGTAGTATATATTTCGACCCAGCCGGAATAATCGGAAAAAAATTATTTCTTTAGTGTTTTAAACATATAAACTCCTACGCTTGGAAATAACATTTTTTAATAAGTTTTGAATTTCGAATTTAATTTTATCAAAATCGGACGACTATATCATAAAGCTGCCATAGGAACGATCGGAAAATTGGTGGGAAAATAAAATGAAACAAATTATAGCTTCGGTGTTTTTTAACATATAACCTCCTACGCTTGGAAAAAACTTTTTTTTATTAGTTCTGAATTTCCAATTTAATCTCAGATCTCAGCGTTCATTCGGACGGACAGTCAGGCGTACAGACGGACATGGCTAGATCGACTCGTCTAGTAAAACTTTCCGACGAATCTCTACGAGTAACAGGTATAAAAGCGAAGGTAGATTTTGTTTTGGATTTTAGATCGCTTGTGGTCCGTCATCGCCGTAACCATCGCTACCATTGGCGCGACGCGATCATCGTTTTGCCGTCAAAGCGCCTCCGTGCGTTCGACAAGCGCTTTTTATCCACTTGCGCGGCATGACCCAGAAGTGTCTACTTTAGTTAGAAACAAGCATTGGTGACCCCGACGTGCTTCTTTACCAGCAAAGTATCACACAGCACTCAATTACACTTGAGAAGTACCGTGAAGAATATGGGTCCCGCCCTGGGACCCATAGGTCATCCAGCTACTGAGCGTCGTCCAGCTTTACAGGACTTCACAGGTTTCTTTGTCTCTCAAACAGGAGCTTTAACTTTACATATTATGTCAACTTAATTTATAGACGAAATAAGTCATACAATAATCAATTTATAAAGTCGAGTACTAGACAGCCAAATAAGCTACAAGAACAAATCCAACAGTTCATAATGAATTATGGCAAGGATTCTGTCGAACGAAGCCACCGAGACAGCTACTATTCCGGTAAGCTAAGTCAGTTGAAGGATCTCTGGCAGCAGTTTTGTATACTAGATGAAGAAGTCCAGCAAGCGGCATTAACAACTGGATTAAAGGAGCTGGTAGAGAAGTTTTAGGAAGTATTTAAAGACTACATGGCGTCAGCAAGCGGCGCTAAAAAGGTACCTCGCGGAATCCAGAACAAACCTGGTAATATAGACATTAATGGTCTTAATATTCCCGAGGGACTGCTGTTATCAGATCCAGACCTTTGGCAACATGGACCTATTGACCTGAACTTGGGTGCTGGTCTATATCCCTGTTAAATTACAAGTGAATTTTTAACCTAGGACCTAATAATCCTTAGGGCAAGGTGCAAGGCTTGGTCATAGGTTTTCTCAAATAAAGAAACCTCATGTAATACGGAAATAAAATATTTTAGAAGAAGGCGTAGACAATCTTACAGGACCCAACCCTGATTGTGAGCCAACCAAAGATGACAATATTCTCTCAATGGAGAAATAATACATTTAACTAACTTAGCATTAATGGATTATAAAATAATAGAGGCTTAAGTTACATGTTGCCAAACAAGAGCTATCGAAACTGACTCATCCGAACGAGAATCAACCGTTATACATAGTAATTCATTGCAGCTAGCAGAAGAACATACTGCAAGAGAACTAACGAGACAAATAAACCTGATTTCTTATCAGCTTCAAAATTTCAAGAATGCTTGATGCGAGTGTTACTTAACATGACAAGACCCCAACAAATCAAGCAACAGCCAAGCTGCGAACAGTACCAGGCGCCCAGTTGCACCCACAGCATATGAAATGTCAACTCATTACTCGACGTCTCACTATGTGACCGTGCGGCTCGACAGTACATTCACCCGCCAAGTGGTCAATACATTCTACAGTGTCAGCCGAGCCAACTACGCAATCTGTCACATAATAAAAATTCACTGACTTTACACTATACTTCCGTGTTCCAAGTAGTACATAAGTATGTAATCTATTTAAGAACAAATCAGTTATCAACGCAATATATGACTCCGCGATTCTATTTCCCATCTCAGGGAATAGGCAAGTAGCCTGCGATCCGGCATCACAGTAATCATCGTTACCATTGTCGCGATACGATTATTGTCCTGCCATCAAAGCATATCCGTGCCTGCGACAATTGCTCATTGCCTTTGTCCCGCGGCGTAACTCAGAAGTGTCTACTTCGGTTAGACACAAACAGCTCGAGCGACTCCTCTCGTGATGAATAGTCTAAAATATATATACTTTAAGGGGTCGAAAACGTATTCTTTACTGCGTTGCAAACGCACTGACTGAAATCTAATCGGCTGTTTACAAAATTTCACAAACGCGACCTAGGTTTTGGTACCGTCGACTTTAAAGTTTTGTCTTGCTTTATTTCTAAAAATTGGGAAAGCTCTGTATATATTCCTAAGACTGCTCTCATAGGAACGACCTGCAAGGGTATATAAACAAGAGCCTTGCATGGGTATACAAAATAAGTAGTTTTCATCGAAAAAAAAAAATCGGGACTTATTTTTTAATATTACCTATCAACCCGACTCCAAATTTTCCAGTCGCTTGGGGTTGGGTAAAATTTGATCCATTGATCAATTTTTTGGAACTCTTGTGGTCTAGATGTTCGCATAACAAAAGTTATATTACTTTACTAGACCGGGTTCCTAGAAACCAACCCGAAAAATTTACCTATTTACCTAAACACAAATTACCGAGGTCAGTTGTGCTTAAGGTTTGACAAACCAGTCTGGTTACTTATCCAGCGATCTAATATAAACTTCGGATTGCCGAAGTAAGCTTCCTTTCAAAGTTTTCTAATACGTTTGAATTTTTCAGGTATCATGGATGCGCAAGCGCGACCTTCACATTCTTACAACAAATATATATACGTACACTGGCGATCAACGATTTTCTGTATTACATCCGCCTAGCAGTGAAGATTGGGACTTAAAGATTGATTATGCTCAGCCCCGTGATAGCGGAGTATATGAATGTCAAGTGAATACCGAGCCAAAAATAAATTTACCAATTGTTTTGGAAATAACAGGTGCATATATTAAGGGAAACTAATACTTATTTTTTAAATGTACGTTCGTGTTCTTTTTTATTGTTTTTCTATTGGTTTTTTATTTCTTAAAAATGATAATAAAAGCTTAAACAAGTGCACGTACGTGCCTCAACACGTACACTGGACAACAGCGGTCGGCACACACATCAATGAACTTCCAATTTAAAATACACACAACTTACCATGCCGACCCGAAAATGTCGGATTCAGTATGTTAATCATCAGTGAAATATGGTATGACGTGACGCACGATATGACCGCCCCGTACCATTTACTTGTAGAACAGAACGGTATATTTATTTTTCAAAACTTTGTTTACCCTTGCAAAGGGTATTATGATTTCAATCAGCAATCAGTGAAGTAGCCGTGACCACATATGGTGTATACATTCTTGATCAGCATTGTTGGGGCGGGGTGGCTTGATCGCTGAAATTGGCCGAAATCCCAAGAACAAAGTTACAAAAAACACTGGGGTCTTTGGAGTTTTTTACGCGACACTTTGAATATTGAACTCCCTAAGCCTAGCTTAACTTAAGCGCTCCAGAGCGGAGCGGAGACTAAGGGGAGAGATGGAGAGGGAGAGCAGAGGGCAGTGCAAGCGCGAGAGATGTAGACATCTGGATAAAACTGCCGCTTGCTTCTGAATATCTTTCTATCGGTAATCCGATCCACCAGTGAAGAGTTCTTAAGGTCTGTTAGTAACATTTCCCTTGCGTGATTTCCTGGAAGGAAGGCTTTTTTTTTTTCGTCGAGATTTTAGTGTTGCTAAAAACAACGGAGGTTTTGAAAGCAACCAAAAAGTTGGCTTAAACGGTTACGATTTTGCATAAGACTGCCTGCGGAGTTTGCCTTGCAACATATACCAGTACATTTTAGCACAAAAGTATAACATTTTGCGAGATTAATTATGGGTCTCAGATCTTTGTTAAGATCTTTTTGTGAGTTCCGAGAATTATTTTTTTTTTGAAAATAGTGAACTTTCCAGATGGGATGTTGCCATCAAGTCGGAAAACGATATGCTTTATTGGCTGTTAAAGTGTTAAAAAAAATTATTAAAGTTTTAATTCAATAGTTTGTTAAACGATTTTTTCTGCACGTAAAATAAATACAATATACTAATTTATACATATTTTTTCTTTTCACATTTCAGCTGATAGTGACTTTCGAGATTTAAAAACGGAAAAGCGGATTTACGATTCAAAAGGTAAAGCCCCTATCCAGTGTACTTACGTTTACAAATAAAAAACAACATATATTTATACAGCTGCTAGAGCGAAAATTCTTGGATCTACTGAAATTCATGTTAAACGTGATAGCACAATTGCCCTGGCTTGCTCAGTGAATACGCATGCATCATCAGTAATTTGGTATGAACGCAACTTTTTCTTAAAAAGCATCTAACGTATTGGATGCAATCTTTTTAAAGGTATCATGGCTCATCAATAATCGATTTTGATTCACTTCGCGGTGGAATAAGTTTAGAAACCGAAAAAACTGATATAGGAACCACCAGTCGATTGATGCTAACACGGGCGTCATTACGGGACTCTGGAAACTATACTTGCGTTCCAAATGGAGCCATACCAGCCTCCGTTAGGGTTCATGTATTAACCGGTAAACCTTAAACATATTTATTTTTGATATTTTTTTCAAATTTCCAATTGTTACAGGTGAGCAGCCTGCAGCAATGCAAACTAGTGCTGCCATTGGCAATAGGGCTTACACTGCAATGATAACTATCATATCAGTAAAAGTATTGTTATATATTTCAAGTCTTGAAGAGCATATGTATCGAAGAGAGAGATGACTAACTAATACAATTTCCATAATATTACTTGATTAGCCTTAAGGTAAGTTTACAAAGTTAACAATACGGTTATTAATTTAAGTCTGTGAACGTTATCTAGAGGATAATCATCTTTGATTACAGCAAAGCACTAACACGAAATATTTTGGATCTTGTTCGTTTTGTGGTTCGAAGAGTTCATAGAGAAAAATGGTACATTGTCTTCGAGAAAATGATTGTAACTGGCAGAAGGAAGCATTTTCGAGCAAAGAAAGTATATGACGAGGATTCATTCTCCGACTCTTCCGTCGGACTTTCGGCGAAATGTTTTTTGGCGCGTGGCATGAATTTCACAACCAGACTGACTCTATAACTCATGGTGGCTCCATTTCAATTCCTTCTTACCCTTTAATACATACATTCACAGTGTGGTGAGTTATGACGAACACTATCTGTCTCACTCATTCCCACGGCCAAACTACGTTGACAGAATTATGTATCTGCCTCGCACGAAAGGATGGAAAAACAGTAGGAAATAAATCAAGTGTGTACCAACAAATAATCGTTATAATTTGAATGTTTAAAATAATCTGAGACATATATATTCTTCTTCAGAAAACTGTAAAAGCTAGAAAACATTCTTGCGCAGCCCAAGTTTATTTCAGAAGATACCACTCCCTTTCTAACACACAGAAACCGACCAAAACTTTAGAACCTACAGTTTTAATGCTAAAATACAAAATACCTCAAATATATCGGTTTCGTCAATACCTATATTGACCCGAACAAAACTTTGCCACGCCCACTCTAACGCCCATAACGCTAAAATCTTGCTGACGCCCACATGATCAAATATTGTCATCGCCGCTATGTGTCATATCACAGAATAGTATACGTAAAAAAGTTTCAGGAAAATCAAAAATGTCAACCCAAAAAAAGTGCTCGGGTTGTAAAAGAACGGCCCCTATATACTTTACAGGGTTGAAGACACTTCCTTCTACCTGTTGCATACTTTTTCCTGAATACAATATACCCTTTTACTCAACGAGTAACGGATATTAAATGCTTTTTATTTTGACCTGAGACTATTATTATATTGAAAAAGTCCTTACGAGTCTTTTTTTGTGAGCTTTCAAATAAAAGTATTTTTGAAATATCTCGCCTAACAAACCAAAAAAAATCGAACCAATTAGTTTACAGTTAATTTTTATACCCTTGCAGAGGGTATATTGATTTCAGTCAGAAGTTTGCAACGCAGTGAAGGAGACTTTTCCGAACCCATGAAGTATATATATTCTTGATCAGCATGACTAGACGAGTCGATCTAGCCATGTCCGTCTGCCCGTCTGTCCGTCCGTTTCTACGCAAACTAGTCTCTCAGTTTTAAAGCTATCGGGCTGAAACTTTCCCAAAAGTCTTGATTCTTTTGCAGGTAGTATATAAGTCGGAACCAGCCGGATCGGACAACTATATCTTATTGCTCCCATAGGAATAATCGGAAAAAAAATTTAAGAAAATTATATCTTTGGTGTTTTTTAACATATAACCTCCTACGCTTGGAAATAACATTTTTTAATTAGTTTTGAATTTCGAATTTAATTTTATCAAAATCGGAAGACTATATCATATAGCTGCCATAGGAACGGTCGTAAAATTGGTGGAAAAATAATATGAAACAAATTATAGGTTCGGTGTTTTTTAACATATAACCTCCTACGCTTGGAAATAACATTTTTTAATTAGTTCTGAATTTAAGTTTATCAAAGTTCGGTGTTTTTTGACATATTATCTTATCCTATTGAAAATATTTTTTTTGTATTTTTAAGAATTTCGAATTAAATTTAATAATTATAGCTGCAAGGTATACAAACTTCGGCTTGCCGAAGCTAACTTCCTTTCTTGTTTGTTGTGTCGTTCGATAGGTATTGACGAGACTAATAAATTTCAGTTACATTTTTTTTCTATCATTAAAATTGTGGGCGACACAGGTTTCGACTGTTTGTGGGCGTGGCATGTTCGCGTGACAAACTTGCGCTGCGCACGAACCTCAGGAATCTACATACCAAATCCCAACTTTCTAGCTTTTGTAGTTTCTCTCAGCGTTCATCCGGACGGACAGACAGACGGACATGGCTAGATCGACTCGGCTAGTGATCCTGATCAAGAATATATATACTTTATGGGGTCGGAAAAGCTTCCTTCTACCTGTTACATACTTTCCGACAAATTTAGTACACTTTTTTACTGTACCAGTAACGGGTATAAAAAGTATCTTGCTGAACATGATATTTCCGTGCAGAACTTGTGTTACTTTATAAGTGCTGCATTTAAAATAGTTATTGTTTTACCAATGCTAATATAAACTATTTATATACTATTTTCAGATCACAGCGTGTTCCAAAGGACCCATTGTAACACACGCAATATTCTATACAAAAATTAAATGTAATTCCTATAGTCATATGAAATAAATAACTATAATAAATATTGATGTACTATGTATATATTCATATATTTTAAAGAGCTTTGGAAATAAATTGGCAATTATTGGACTTTCGTATTTTACCTTAATATTTAACAAAGTAAAGATGTCCGAATAATCAACTTGGCCCAGTGTGCACTGAAATATTCAAGTTAATCATGGACTAAAAGGGGTATGTAGTAATAATAAAAAGTATGTGCCTTCAAGGCAAGCTTCCGAACCGATATGATATAGTAAGACGCGTCTTTACGTACTTCCTTCTGTCTTTATTCCAAGTCTCTAAACTAGGGCCCTGCCCTGTAGACTTGACTTTTTTATCTTGCTTTGGCATATAAAACTGTGAAGCCACTAAGAGAGGCCGTCGCCGAGTGTTGGTCGAGTCTGTGGTATTTTAACGTTAACATTGGTTCTCTTTCCGATAATACAGAGCTGATGCAAGAATTTTTGTTTGTAACAGTCGGCATAAGCTATAAAATAACTATAAAACTATATACCACAAGAATATTACATTTTAGCGGGTATATAGCCCCTAGTGCTATAATTCTTGTTTAATTAAAGTTCTTACCATTAAAGCCTAGTACTCACATCGACGAAAACTGCGAGCTAACCATAGGAGTGAGCGAGAGGCAAGCAGGCGGCTAAAGCTTTTCGTCGGGTCTGTTTTTCAGCGCGGTACTCAGATGAGCTAAGGAAATACCAGAAAAAATACCAGATCTCGCGAGTGAATTTTCGATGAACGCCGTTAGCCGCGGTCCAAAGAATAAGAAAATTAATCTTTGGCGATGGTCGTGCAGAAGCGGTGGGGAATTTAAAAATGAAAAATGGAAGGAAAACACCAAAAACGGCTAAAGGAGGTCAGTGCAGATGAAAAAGGGCGCCTAATCCAAGCTGTTGCCCATTATTGTGGGACTTGACCGAAAGGAAGCAATACCACAACGGGGGAAATCCGCAGAATAGTTGAAGCGCTGGAGGAGATCCACTAGAGAATCCCAGTGGGAAGGAACGTGGGACATCGCTCGATCTCCGACGACGTCTCCATTGAGGACTCCACCTCCACCAGCTACTTGGCAGCCAAAGCAAAGGTGGAGGAGACGCCGGCTTCTATAGGGAGGAGAAAATAAGGTCGCCCGCTAAGGGACAGCTGAAGAAGCCATCACCAGCCATTATTGGCCAGCCTATTGGGACTTGGAGCTGGACTACAGATGGCGCGGGAAAGATGGCGAAGCATCCGTGGGACGAGGAGAAAGCCTTAAACTTATAATTTACATAAATAAAAACACTCCCTGAACATTTTATTTATTTTTATTTTAATTTCTTTGTGCACCAGCAGACTCTTCTTTTTTAAATTGCTCCAATTGATTTCTTTTCCGTTTGGCAACAAGCCCAGCTGCTTGACAGTAAGACCATGCCATATGCATTGCGGGTGAACTTTGAATACTTCGGTCACACTACAAAGAATAAGATTTTTCGACTAGTGAAACTCTTAGCCGATCTGAGTACTATGCTTAATAATATAAAAGTTGAAGTTGTCTTTATAACGGAAATCGGCATATTATTTGAAAAACAAAATACGGAATATCAAACCCGAGGATATGAAAGTATTTTATTCTTACACGGCATATAAGCAGTTCCCTATCTTGCTGATGACCAGATGAAATACCAAATTTCCTTCTTTTCTGCTGTGACGATCCTGACTGACGGCTGCGCCGCCACAATACTTATAGAAACTAGTTATTTAAGTTTAATATTATTATAATCATTAGTCGGTAAGATAAATGAAATGAAGTATTGTTGTGGTTGTTATGGTGGCAACCATAGAGGAAAATACTTGAAAATTAGAGGAAAATACTAGAAAATTAGAAGAAATACCGATCTTGCAAGGAAAAGACCGGAGAGTACGAAGGCAGGCGGTCGCGCCCGCGGACAACGAAAAACAAAAGGTTGATAGTTAAGCACGCAGGGAGCAAGTACGAGGTCGATAGAAAAGTGAGGTTAGTGCGCAAGAAGTGCAATCGGTGCAGTGAAGCAGAAGACCGAGCAATAACGCAAGGCGTTTGTGAAACAAAATGCTTTTATGCAATGTAAACTCGAAGAATGATGACAGTGAATGAAAACAAGTGAAATATATATATATACGCAAAACGTCTCAGTGCTTATTATTTTCACCCCCACGCACCCTTTTCCCCAAGTGACTTAGGTTGTCGATGCCCGGCAATCCGGCTGAGCGAGGTAGAGTTATTCGCTCTATATCCATATATATTCCCTCCCAACTTTCCGTTAATCCACCTGCGCAGTGAGGCGGCAGATCCCCTCGCTCTACGGCGAAGCGGCAGAACCCTTCATGTCCCGCTAACTCCCCCGGTGAGGCGGCAGATCCTCTCACTCGTCCCACCAATCCTATGCAAGTCATCGGATGATCAGGCAGCCCCTATCAATCATCGACGTACATCGAGCTTTTGGTAGATGCGGAGAAGTCGGTCACTTTATGCGGGGTTGTACTAATGCAATCCCCTTTCTTGGGACTGCGGTCGTAGGAACATATTGACCGTCGATTATTGTCGCCGAGACGCCCCGGGAGACGAACAACGTCTTCTCCGAGATGCGGGCGCAGCGGTGACGAGCGAAGTAGCAGTCTGACATCGAGAAACCTACCATTAAGGATAAGCAACGGCTTGATCACTGCTACCGTGCAGATCGGAGGCCGATGGGTGGATGCCACGGTGGATACGGGAGCATCGAGGAGTTTTGCAAGCGAAGGATATGCTCGCATGGTAGCAAGGCTTGAGGAGATGCAAGAGATCATCACTACAATAGCGTTAGCTGATCGGTCAAGTCTGGCAGTGAAAAAGTTATGGCGTACTCGTGTGAAATTAGCTGGCACGCAAGTGTGGATGCCATTCTAAGTGATGCCAACCATGTCGGATCGCGTGATATTAGGTATGGATTTCTTAAGGTAAAATTGAGCCCGTCGGCGGAAGATCGACTGCGGCCAAGTAAAATCGATCTGATGTCGTCAAAGGTTACGAACCCGGAAGGATGGAGTACGACGGTTCCGGAGAGACAGAAATCCGGCGACAAGGGCACTACGTATACGGAGAAGAGTGTGGTCCCCGCGCACAACCGGATCATGCGTCAAATGACCACATCAGGAGAAAGATCGGCCACGGAGGAGACGATATCAGGAGGTGCGACGAGCCGGGAAGGGCCTTGGAGGACATTCGGCTGGACGAAATCGGCGAAGCAGATAGTGGGGGACCAATGACGGAAGAGGATGACCTAAAACCCGACCAGCTGGAATTCATCACCAGTGACTTAGCGCTTTTCGAGGAGCTTCATGGTGTATCACGGTGTATTGATTAAAGACAATTGAACGCTCACTCAGTGCCCGACGCGTACCCCGTCCCCAGGATCAATCACATCCTGGAAAGACTACGTCAAGCCAGATACATCTCGACGCTAGATTTAAGGCACGGTTATTGGCAGATGCCCATGGCCAAGGACAGACGCCTATTCGCGGCCTTCACCGTTCCGGGCATAGGCCTATACCAATGGAAGGTCATGCCCTTCGGACTTCACTTGGCCAGACTTCAGTTAGCCTCCGCCCTGCGGACGGGTGCCCAACGGGGCAAGTTGAACGTGGTGGTGGACGGGTTATCTCGACAACCCTGTGAAGTCTTCCAACAGATGGCCGAAGTGGAGACACCCTGTAGATGGATCCAAGGTATGAAAGTTAAGATAAGAGAATGCGCTGAGAAGTTCTCAGATTAAGTAGTGGAAAACGGACAACTCTACCTGAATATAGGGCACAGAGCTGATGACAATGATGATCCCTAGCCCAGGCAGAGTCCGAGTCCTACGAGAATGCCACGACGCGCCCACGGCTGGGCATCTGGGGGCCCGGGGGACGGCTTCTCGACTGTCTCAGAGGTATTTCTGGCCCGGAGTGTTTAGAGACGCGAAACGTTACGTCCAGCGCTGCGAGTCGTATCAGAAGTTTAAAACCGCCCAGACGAAAGCGGCGAGCAAAATGCTAACCCGCGTAACAAACGAACCGTTCGACATATTATGCGCGGACTTTGTCGGCCTGCTACCCGGATCCAAACACGGAAACACCATGCTCCTCGTATTTCACGACATCTTTTCCAAATGGGTGGAGTTGATCCCGTTACGAAAAGCTACTGCCACCCATGTCCGGAATGCTTTCCGGGACCGAATACTAGGTCGAGTCGGCATCCCTCGGAAGTTCGTCTGCGATAACGGCACTCAATTTACCAGTCGCTTTTTGAGAGAGTACTTCCATACGCTGGGGGTAGAGGTCCAATATACGGCTCCATACTGTCCACAGGAGAACCCTACCGAGAGGACAAATCGGACTGTCAAGACGATGATAGCCCAACCCACCGAGGGGGACCAAAGTTCCTGGGACGAGCTATTGCCGAAAATAGCACTCGCCATCAACGCGAGCGTATCGGACTCTACGGGATTTAGCCCCGCCTTTCTGATGCAACTACAATGTTGTACGACGAGGTCACCCCCGGATCAACGGTGACAGCTAAGGACCCCAAAGATAAAGCGCTTCAGCTTAGGGGAATCTTCGATTTTGTCATTTCCAATCTCCAACGTGCATCCCAAGAACAAGCACGGCACTACAACCTTCGACGCCGTGAGTGGAGCGAAGCTCGGGAATAAAGTGTGGTTTCGCCAACATCCTCTCTGTTCGTACCCATAGGTACTCAACATGACCACACCCAACAAATCAAGCAGTAGCCAAGTTGGGAACAGTACCAGGCGCTCAGTAGCACCCACTGCATATGAGAATGGCTGATCAGCATATTATATGTCTCACTAACTCACCGTCTCACCGACTCAACGGCACACTGACCCCCCAATGCAGTCAGCACATTTTGCAGTGTCAGCCAACTACGCAAAGTCAACTACGCAAACTGCTACCATAATCATAATTCCCTGACCTACTTTAGAATATAGCCTACTTCACTAATCATTACACTAAACTTCCGTGTTACAAGTAGTATATAAACATGTACCAAATGAAGAATAAATCAGTTATCAACACACCTCTTAACTCCGCGGTTCTACTTCCTACATCTGGGAATAGGGCTCGTAATACACTATCTCAACTAGCAGCTAACCACGTTAGCTCAACCTCAGCGCAGCTCAGCATCGCCTGTGGTCCGGCATCGCAGTAACCATCGTTACCATTGCCGCGACGCGATCGTCCTGCCATCAAAGCGTCCCCGTGCCAGCGACAAGTGCTCATTACCGCCTTGTCCCGCGGTGTGACCCGGAAGTGTCTACTTCGGTTAGGCACAAACACTCTCTCAAAGGCGGCCGAAGGTTTCGCCGCCAAATTAGCCCCCAAATATGACGGCCCCTACACCGTAACGAGATTCACATCCCCTAACCTCGTCCTTTTACGATGCCCTGGAAAAAGACGCTTGCGCTCCGCCAACATCAGTCAGCTGAAACCCTACTACTCGGAAGACGTCAAGAATGCAGTCGAAGAAGAAGGTGACAAGACTATCCAAGGAGATGACAAGAGAGAACAAGCAGGGTGGAAGGTTACACGGTAATTGTTAAGTTAAATTGTATCGAAACACACATCTAAGTATTCTAAGTCGAGGTTTCACTGCACCGATAGGTAGGAAGCTTAAACAATAAGGGTCTCGTATCAATAAGTTTTGTCTTCGCTTTTAGATGGAAATCATCGAGTTGTCGAATAGTTCCGACGATACAAAGAGTTTTTACCACGACTTTTCCGATCGCGACGAGTAGGTCGCAGAAGGTTACGACGGAGGAGACTCAGAGACATCGAGAGCGCGGGCGAACAAACCGGACGAGGACATCGCGTTCGCTTCGCCGTCAAGGAAGGACATTTGCACTACGTCGTCACTGAAGAGTGAAGAGTGACGGACGTCTCGTCATCAGCCCTACCGAAGGAGGGGGTGTGACGATCCTGTCTGACGGCTAGACCGCCACAATACTTGTAGGAATAATTTCATTTTTTATTTAAGTTTAATATTTTTATAATCATTAGTCGGTAAGAGAAATGGAATGAAGTATTATTATTTAATAGTCGGAAAGCGAACCAATGAGATTTTTGTGTATGGGACCAGAATAGGCCAGGTTTAGTTCCGCACCATCCGCCCGAGTTGGCATCCATAAAGGAAAATACTAGAAAATTAGAGGAATATACTAGAAAATTAGACGAAATACCGATCTTGCAAGGAAAAGACCGGAGAGTACGAGTGGGGCACACTGCGGCTTCCGGACAACGGACGCGCACGCGGACAACGAAAAATAAAAGGTTGAAAGTTAAGCACGCAGGGAGCAAGAACGCGGTCGATAGAAAAGTAAGGTTAGTGCGCAAGATGTGCAATCGGTGAAGTGATGCAGAAGACCGAGCAACAACGCAAGGCGTTTGTGAAACAAAATGCGTTTATACAATGTAAGCTTGAAAAACGATGACAGTGAATGAAAACAAGTGATATATATATTTACGCAAAACGAGAAAGGATGGTCTCAGTGTTTATTATTTTTACCCCCAAGCTAGAGGTGTCAAAACATCGATGTATTGAGACATCGATGTTTTCGATGTTTTTCACCCAAAACATCGATGAAACATCGATGTTTTAAAAAATTAAAATTAAATTTTGGTAATTCTTAAATAGTCGGGCCGGAACGACCCGACTAATTAACAAAAATCCATATTTAGAGGGCGATGAATCAATCATGAATTTTGGTGTAAAAATTATTTTGGGGACGCGCTTAGTTTAGCCAGGAGAAATTTTTATAGTTTGACCAAATTGCACTTAAAAAACCGTTGGCGATCGCCGAAAACCAACAGCGGGCACGCACACAGACACACCACACACATAATTTTACGTTAATGTAAATGTTTTTGTTTCTTATTGTTTTTAATTTTTGTTTTTGTTGGTTTTGTTTTTAGTAATTTGCAATGATTTAAGTTGCATTTAACATGTGTGTTTTAAATAAACACCAATAACTGTAAGTGTGTCTTCACTTATACACAAAATATACATACATTTATGCTTATATGTGACAAATATATAAATCATTTGAAATTTGCAAATCTTTAATGAATATTACGTAGCCCTGAAAAGGGTCGATTTGGTAAAGAGGCAAACTTTAAAAATTTCTCCTGGCTAAACTAAGCGCGTCCCCAAAATAATTTTTACACCAAAATTCTTGATTCATCGCCCGGGTTAGTCGGGTAATGTTCTATTACTGAAAAACAGCAGAAGAAGAACTTTAATATTATAATAGAAAAAATGAAAAAAAATCTGCTCTTTTACGTACCTTTCCTTTGCCTTTTTTCTTAATAGTGACGGCACAGAAACATCGATGGTTGAAAAAAAACATCGATGATTTAGAAAATTTCAAAAACATCGATGCATCGATGTTTTCATCGATGTTTTGACACCTCTACCCCAAGCACCCTTTTCGCAAAGTGACTTAGGTGGTCGATGGCCGGCAATCCGGTTGAGCGAGGTAGAGGTATTCACGCTATTTCCATATATATTCCGTGTTATAAAATATTATCTTCAACTATCCTTGCCCCACAGGAAATGTTTTAAGTTGTTGCGAAATGTTAAATGTTCAAGCCCCCAAAATAAATTATTACATATTTACATAAGTCAATATAATAATTTCATAACAGGTTTAAAAAAATGAAATAATTTCATTCGTACTCCGATGTAGTGCCATTATTATTTTACAAAGTCAAATAAACAGAACACATAAAATATGAAATAATATAAATAAAATTTTAAGTAAATGTGTCGTAAATCGTTAAGTTGCTGGAGCAATATCTAAAAATCAGTGTATGGTAAGTTTCCAGTTGTTGGTGAGGAGAATTGACTTTGATAGGTCTGTTGTTTGTCTGGAATAGCGCCCCAGCCTCTGGCACATTGGTTAAAGATTTGACCCTTGTTCGCCAGTGGAGAAGTCGGCCTGCCAATTGATGGGCCACCTCTAGGAGAACCAGTTGGTAACAGCTGACGGTACGGAGATCCAATTGACCCTGCTGAACTTGGAGATCCTGACGTATGCTCATTAAGTACAATTCCAAATGGTGTTGGCGAAGCATTACGCACTTGCGAATTTTGTTGCACATTTAGGTACTGTGAACTTGTACTGGTCGAATTCTTTCTGTCAGGTTGTTCATACCTTGCCAGTTTATCAAAGGTCAAAGGCGCAGGGTTAAAGCTAACCTGAGGCGCGACGTTTTCGGATCCAATTGGGATTCTTTGATAGCTAGACGGCGAGTAAAGCTGCTGCTTTGGCGGTACAGTGCTAAACCCAGGTGACAATGGCTTTGATAATGGAAACTGGCCAGTGCCATTGTTTCCAACCGTACTTTGAAAAGCAGAGAAGTTAGTCCTTGGTAAAGGACGCGAAACAGAGCCATTGTTTGGTGATTCAAAATGTTCATTGTTCCCGGCGTACTGCTGTGGAGGTGCTGCGTAGCTTGAAAGAGATATCTCTTTCGGTACATATAAGCCTGTGAAAACAAAGTAGAAACACGAAATATAAATTATTGCAGTGCTGTATTTTGAAAATCAAAGTGAATGTCAGACGATTCAACAACTTTACGAACATTCAGACTTTACATATCTTCCTGAAATGTAATGTTTTTGTTTCACATATCATATATACATACACAAAGATTCGAATTCTGTTTAAACTTTTATGTAGTGCTTAAAATTGTATTTGATTATAATTGGATTTTTGTACCCTTTACTCGTAGAGTAAAAAGGTATACTAGAATTGTCGGAAAGTATGTAACAGGCAGAAGGAAGCGTTTCCGACCCCATAAAGTATATATATTCTTGATCAGGATCACTAGCCGAGTCGATCTAGCCATGTCCGTCTGTCCGCCTGTCCGGATGAACGCTGAGATCTCGGAAACTATAAGAGCTAGGCTATTGAGCAATGTGCCACGCCCACTCTTACGCCCACAAACCGCCCAAAACTGTGGCTCCTACAGTTTTGATGCTAGAATAAAAATTTTAACTGAAATGTATTGTTCTCATCAATACCTATCGATTGAAAAAAAAAGTTTGCCACGCCCACAAACCGCCCAAACCTGTGACGCCCACAGTTTTCATGCTAGATAAAAAATTATAACTGAAACGTATTGGTCTCGTCAATACCTATCGATTGATCCAAAAAAAAATTTGCCACGCCCATTCTAACGCCCATAACGCTTAAATCTGTCTACCGCCGGTAGGTGGCGTATTTTAATCTCGCTTTGCTGCTTGCATATCTCTATTTCCCTTTGGTCCCTTTAGCTGAGTAACGGGTATCTGATAGTCGAGGTACTCGACTATAGCGTTCTTCCTTGTTTTAGGAATTTATTCGCATTGCCTGAACACTTAAAATAATTTGATGCGTAAAAAATGGAAGCAAGTTTGATCTAACAGTTTCCTCGCTTTACATGAAACAAATCTGTCCAAATCAGTTTCCAGTTATGCAATTTATGCTTTGCTCCGAAAACAACGCAAAACTAAACACAATTTTAACGCTATCATCCTGCTCCAAATGAGTATTTCATCGCTATTAGCAAATTAATCAACGATGAGATTCATAAAAATATGTTGTGCTATTGCTACCGCTCTCTTTTTGACGAGACCCTTTCAGTTTCAAAAAAAAGTTTCACTTGTGAATCACCTTGTGAATACCGCGGCACATGCCACCTTGCACGAGTGAAGAACAAGTGACACTCCATATAGACAATTTTATGGAATTTTTTACAAGTGAAAATTCAAATGAAAATTTTTCGAAGTCAATCGGGATTTTACTTGTTCCTTATACTCGCCGGTGACACGCCCCACGTGAAATCACTTGTGAAATGCAGAATATTTTCGATGTGTTTTCACTTATCAAATCACCTGCAAGTGACACGTCCCACTTGAAATCACTTGTGAAATTCAAAATATTTCCAATGAGTTTTCACTTATGAAAATATATATATATATATATTAAAATACATACATTTATATTTACTTTTAAATTCATGTTAATTAAATAGTGTTATTTCGGTTTTCTGTTAAAGGACAGTTATTGTTAGTAAGACTAGTTTTATGTTTCCTTAATTTGCTTTTTACACTGGTCATCGCCTTCCTTAAACATTTGTCCGGGCCATCCGAATCTTTGGCCAACGCTCAAAAAAAAATGTATTAGCATATGTTTAAAAAATTTATTGGCTTATTTTGTATATTTACCTTTAAGAGCTGTGTATAACCCGTTGCGGGATGTTTATTGGCACAAAACATTTTATCATCTTCTTTCGGCTAACTCAACCCATAAAATACCTTCAAAATTTACCTAATTTAAACTTAGATCGATGCACAACATCTTAAACTTAATTTACCTCTTACCTTGTTTTATTATTTTCACTTTAAGAAACGAAAAAAGTAAAGTAAAATTGCTTGCTTCCCTCTTAATAACTCAAACAGAATGCACCAAGTCTTCCCCTCACCCCTTTTCTTGATTTATTTTGTTTTCTCTTCGCTGTTGGCGCGTACCACTGCACCTATACCCTTTCTAAAGCGAAACATATCCGATACAATAGGAATTTTTAAAAAATGTTAATATTAAAATGTTTTAAATATTTAAATCAATTTTAACGGACTAAATTTCTATAACTAATATATAAAATGATATTCTAATAATAATGTATAATACGTAAACATAACGTTATAAGTAAGTTATTTAATTTTACCATAATCAAATAATTTACTTTTATAAAACAATGAGTTGTTTTTTTTTTCTACATACAATAATGCTTCTAAAATATTAGGGCATTACATGTCGATGCTCCACCAAAATTTTTTCGCCGAAATCTTAGTCGCTAGCCGAACATAACGGAGAGACGCAAAAAAAAATAGGCAGGCAGAGTATAGGACAAAGAAAGAGAGAGAACCTCCGAATATCTGCCTCTCTTTGTTGCACGGGCGTTTTTTGTCGGCAGTCTTCTACGCTGCGTCGACTTGTCTGCTGACTTCAACAGCGGCACACCGTTTCCTACTGCAGAACTGATGGGCATTTAGTGTTACCAGAGTTACCATTTCACGCATTGGAGTTAAATTCATAGTCAACTTTCGTGTGTTTCAAATTCATGAAACGGTGAAACGGCCTAGTACTCACATCGACGAAAACCGCGAGCTAACCATAGGAGTGAGCGAGAGGCAAACAGGCGGTTCAAGCTTTTCGTCGGGTCTGTTTTTCAGCGCGGTACTCAGATGAGCTAAGGAAATACCAGAAAAAATACCAGATCTCTCGAGTGAATTTTCGATGAACGCCGTTAGCCGCGGCCCAAAGAATAAGAAAATTAATCTTTGGCGATGGTCGTGCAGAAGCGGTTGGAAATTTAAAAACTAAAAATTGAAGAAAAACCCCAAAAACGGCTAAAGGAGGTCAGTGCAGATAAAAAAGGACGCCTAATCCGAGATGTTGCCACTTATTGTGGGACTTGACCGACAGGAAGCAATACCACAACGGGGCAAATCCGCAGAATAGTTGAAGCACTGGAGGAGATCCACTAAAGAATCCCAGTGGGAAGGAACATGGGACATCGTTCGATCTCCGACGAGCTCTCCATTGGGGACTCCACCTCCACCAGCTACTTGACAGCTAAAGCGGAGATGGAGGACGCGCCGGCTTCTATATCGAGGAGAAATTATGGTCGCCCGCTAAGGGAGTCATCACTAGCCATTATTGGCCAGCCTATTGGGACTCGGAGTTGGACTAGAGATGGCGCGGGGAAGATACCGAAGCATCCGTGGGACGAAAAGGAAGCCTTAAACTTCTAATTTACATAAATAAAAACATTCGTTGAACATTTAATTTGTTATTATTTAAATTTCATTCTGCACCAGCAGACTTTTATTTTTTAAATTGATTTGTTTTCCATTTGGCAACAACAAGCCGCTTGACAGTAAGACCATGCCACATGCATTTCTGGTGAACTTTGAAAACATCGGTCACACTACAAAGATTAAGATTTTTCGACTAGTGAAACTCATATCCGATCTGAGTACTAGGCTTTATGCTTGAATTGGCCGATTTCATGAAATGATACGCAAATCGATTCAGAATTCCATTGTTTTTTTCAGTATTTTCTTTACGATTTTAGGTGATTATTGTACTAAGCGTTTCGCGATTTGTCGTTTGAAGGCGCATCCACCTCCCAAAATGGTTGCTTTTATAATGGAAATAGTCAAGGAATCGAATGCGAGGATGGTGTTATAAACGGTTTAAGTGTCCAAACTGTAACTAAAATAGTCCCTATTCAATTATCACTACGCATGCCTGAATGGAAATCTTATTATTGATTAATTTGCTAATAGCAATAATAATAATAATAAATAATCATTTGGAGCTGGAAACATTTTACATGATAGCGTTAAAATTGTATTTAGTTTTGCGTTGTTTTTCATTTTTTCGGAGCAACTGAATTTGCAACAGCGATTTCTAGCGACTGTGTGCAGGGCTTTAAGAATATATTATATATAATATAATATATATATGTGTGGTAAGATTTCGTTGTTTTGATACTTTTAGTGTGAGTGTGTCGATCGCTATTTCACACCTCTTGGTGAACTCCACAAACGTTACTATAAGTTGAAAAATCGCGATAGTGTTTGCAAACACCTAAAATATTCCAAACAAGTAAAAAATACTAAAATAAAAAATAAAAAAAATAATTTAATGTTATTTAGGAAACTAAGAAATCTTAATGTTAATAATGAGCTAAGAAAATAAAAAAGTAATGTTGATAATATCAAAATAGATACAAGTACAAAATTTAAATATATCGATATTGCCAATACAGATGGATTGACAGCTCTATTTTGAATAAAACGACGTTGGTCGGAAATTAACACGAAAACCATTCAATATTGTCTGTTAGTAACAAGCACACTTTAAAACCGCGGTCGGCAGGCAATAATATATGTTTTTATGGTGGTAACGAACGAGCCGAGGTGTTCCGTGCACCCGCTTATTGGTAAGATGCCGACCGCTGCATTATTGACATTTTTATACCCGTTACTCGTAGAGTAAAAGGGAATACTAGATTCGTCGGAAAGCATGTAACAAGCAGAAGGAAGCTTTTACGACCCCATAAAGTATGAACGCTGAGATCTCGTAAACTATACAAGCTACAATACTGGGATTAGGCAGGCAGATTCCTGAGATGATGATTCCTGAGATGATCCTGCGCAGCGCATGTTTATTTCAGCAGAGTGCCACGCCCACTCTAACGCCCACAAACCGCCCAAAGCTGTGGCTCCTACAGTTTTGATGCTAGATAACTGAAATGTATTATTCTCGTCAATACCTATCGATTGACCTAAAAAAAAGTTTGCCACGCCCACTCTAACGCCCATAACGCTAAAATCTATCTACCGCCGGTAGGTGGCGCATTTCAATCTTGTTTTGCTGCTTGAATATCTCCATTTCACTTTGTTTCCTTTAGCTGAGTAGCGGGTATCTGATAGTCGAGGTACTCGACTATAGCGTTCTTCCTTGTTTTAAGTTATATTCAAAAATTCTGATTTTTAGCAAAACTAATAATTGGCCACAATTTTGTACCAACTTGGCACTTCATTTTGAAATCGTTTAACATTAAACTTAGCCAGTTAAAGTTACTTGAATAATAAAATTTAAGGTAGCCGTTCAAATGATAAAGGGACCACGCCTTCTTATCCAAAAAAAAATGTATGTAAGTGCTATATATGTACATATATTCTGTTACTCTCCAAGCCTTTAGTTAATGCTCGAATGAACGAGTTGATTAATGTCTGGGAATAACACCATAATGAATTTTTAATTTTGGTCCCTTGACTTTGAATATCATAATCGTTAAAAATAATTGACGTTGAAATCAATCGTCCCATACGCCACTAAAACTATTATTGTAACATAACACTAATCAATATACATAGAAAACACTGTCAACTGAACATTTTTTATTAGATACATAAACTGCTCATATGCATTTAAACACAAAACAATTTAGAAACATTTTAACCTTGCCTTTATTGTCGTATTTTAGGCCGTCCTGACAATGGCTTAGTTCCGATAACTTCTGTTGTTCAAAAGATTGTATTAATTCTCGGACATTTAATTTTTCATCTAGGTCATCTTTGACTTTCTGGTCATCATCACTTAGTTCAACTCCAAATTTTTTCATAAAGTCTTTGCAGCTTTGATAAGCCTGAGGCAGAAGGGTTGAACGTATTTCTTGGGCACTTTCTTGGTTCCGTAATATTTCTATTTGAAGGCGCTGGTGTTCCAAAAATAATTTTTGAAATTTTTCGAGTTCATATAATCGACTCTGCACATCTTTAGCGAAATTGGAAGTAAGGTTATCTCCATTAAAATAAAATTGTGGGCGAGTCTGTCGCGATGATTCATTTTTGTTAGATTGCAAAGATTCTGAAATATTTAAATTACCAAGAAAACAACAAGTAAAAAACCCAAGATTTATTATTCCTTAAGATTTGAAAAACAAGTAAAGGTTTTGAGAATCCTATAAAAGTAGTTCCAACCCGCTCAATAATTAAAAAAAACTTTCTTCAATGGCGCATAATTATATAAACAAACTTTTGCAACTAGAACTTCCCTAACTTTAATTTCAGAACGTTTTAAGTGTGAAATTTATTTAAAAAACATTTTTTGGATATGTCATTGATGATTTTCCGAATTTTTTTTACCCCAAGACTAAGTGCTACATAATCTGATATCTTTTTCCTTTAAATTACTTACGTAAACTTTGAAACTTTCCCTCACGTCACAGTTTTACGAAAATCGTGATCAAAGTACCAAATCTTCGATTCTTAGGGATTTTTATACCATTGCAGAGGGTATTATGGTTTCAGTCAGAAGTTTGCAACGCAGTGAAGGAGACGTTTCCGACCCCATAAAGTATATATATTCTTGATCAGGATCACTAGACTAGTCTCTCAGTTTTAAAGCTTTTCCAAAAGTCTTCTTTCTTTTGCAGGTAGTATATAAGTCGGAATCAGCCGGATCGGCCAACTATGTCTTACAGCTCCCAAAGGAATAATCGGAAAACAAATTTTTTTAAATTATTTCTTTGGTGTTTTTAAACATATAAACTAAACATTTTTTAATTAGTTCTGAATTTCGAATTTAATTTTATCAAAATCGGACGACTATCATATAGCTGCCATAGGAACGATCGGAAAATTGGTGGGAATATAATATGAAACGAATTATAGCTTCGGTGTTTTCTAACATATAACCTCCTACGCTTGGAAATAACCTTTTTTAATAAGTTCTGAATTTCGTATTAAATTTTATCAAAATCGGACGACTATATCATATAGCTGCTATATGAACGATCGGAAACGGTGGGAAAATAATAAGAAACAAATTATAGCTTCGGTGTTTTTTGACATAGTATCTTATACTATTGGGAATATCATTTTTTGTATTTTTAAATTTAATAATTATAACTGCAAGGGTATACAAACTTCGGCTTGCCGAAGTTAACTTCCTTTCTTGTTTGATAACAGTTAAGCCGTCCGTAGCCCAGGGGACTAGAAGATGTCTGAAAAGGTACTTTGAACCATTTTTGTGGGACCTCTGGTATTTTAGTAAAAGTGGATTTTAAGTGACAGGTAAAGTTTGTTTAGATTTTGAGGCATTTTTTCTTGATCTCTTTATTGTCAGGCTAAGTAATAAATTAAAAGAATTTTGCATGATCAGACAGACGCTGCTTTGCAACAGCTATGGCCTTTCCCAAGACCCTAGAACTCAGTTAAAAAATATTTTCACTAACGTGCAGTGTGAATGAATATTTGTATAGTTCCGTTGATAAAAACCACAAAGTAAATAAACCAATTGTAAGAACACTTGCTTTCAAGTGGTTAAACTAACAACGGTTTAGGAACGTGCTAAAGGGGTATTTATATCGAAAACCTTTTCTGTACTCAGAATTATTGCTAAGACTCTTACGAATTTTTATGATTTTATTCAAAAGTTTTCAACCTAGTGAAGGGGTCGTTTCCAACCTCTAAAGTATATTTATTCATGATCAGCCATGTCCATTTGTCAGTGTGTACGTAAAATACTCTCTCTTAATTTCTAAGCTATCGGTCTGAAACATACCCAAAATTCTTCCTTTTATTGCATAGCTCTCATAGAAACAATTGGAAATTTAAAATTTAAAAATCATCTTCAACTCTTGATAACATACTTTTTTGTAAATGTTATTGAGAAAGCTTTTTCTTTTATTTTTTAGAGCTTTTTCGTTTGCACTTCGGTCTTTTACATTTTTAATTACTCTTTCAGCTGCGTGGCACCCTAAAATATTACATTTTATAATCTTTGCGCGACAGCTTAAGAACGTTTGCCAACATTCATATCAGGAGATTGAAAAATCAATGTTATTTTCCGGTATTTTATAAGTAAAAATTTGATTGGAAAGTAAAAAAGAAATAAGGAAGCTCGAGTCGTTTGTGTGAGCCGCGACAATAGTGAGTGCGGTAAGCAAAATAACAAAAATCTCATAGTCGATATGAGAACTTTTGGATATAGTTTGTTGTTCGACCCGGCAAAAACGGTCGGATCAACGTACTAACGGATACGAAAAAGGGCTAGATCTGGTCTAGTGATGATGGTTTAACAGGTCGGAAAGGTCTAATGCACTACGATGCGAACTACTGACTGAATTGATGGCGTCTATATGTACACAATTATTTATACAATTTTATGTATATATATATATGTTATACAATAGCTTATTCATATTTATACTACAGCAACCTGTTTCAAATAATTTAAAATAATATTAAGGTTATACCGTTACCGTAAGTCTATACTAACCTTTTGGTAGTTCCACATTGCGACCTCCCCAGCCCTGAGCAACGGATGGTGTGTATGCAAGCTCCCTTTGGGGGTTCGAGGGTACATTGGTTGATTGCGGTGGAGAAGCAATGGCCTGTAAAAAGAAACTATTATTTACGTTCAATAATTATAAGAAGCATACATTATTATAATCCTTCTGAGGACTATAGTGCGTAGGTTCCACAGCATCCGTAAAATCCCTTCTACCACTTTGGAAGTACGGAGTGGGTGATACGGCAGCAGGTGAGAAACATTGACTTTTGGTATCCTTATCTTCCAAAAACGCTGTACTGGCTGAACCAGTTTGTAAAGCTGCATCCCAAGGAGACTGAACCACCTGCAATCCCGGCTTTGAATACTTTTCAATTAACTGATTTTGATGAATATTCAACTGAACGCGATGTTTTCCCGCATCAGAATATGCCGGCAAAATGTTCGGTGATATAGCCGGTTTTTGTTGATACTGCTGGTAATCTGGAATACCAGATGGAGGATTTTGAGTCTCTAAGTTGGTTTCATCGACAATCCAATTATCAGCCTTTCTGCGGCGTTTTGCAAACAGTTCGGCGCCTTCATATACAGAAGAAGTTAGCAGTTTGTGGGTTGGTTGTATTGCAGCCGTTGGAGGCGGCGGGAGCGGCGGTGAGAGCGGCGGCGGGAGCAGCGGCGGGAGCGTCAAAAATGAAGCAAAGCATTTATGTAAAAATATAAAACATTAAAATAATATGCTGATTTTCAGACAAAAAATTAGGGGTTTTCTACGATCTTAAGCATTTATCCTAGATCTAAGTATACTAAGGCGGGTCGATTGGGTCAAACCTGATTTTCAAGACATAGTTTCTTTGACAATATTATATACGTCCCCCCCTACGATTTAAAGACCTCCAAATCGACCACCCTAATGTACCCGCCCTTCTAAAATAATGATGTTTCGACTGATTCCAAGTTTGGACCAATTGTTAATCGGCTTCGTCGCAGGGTTAATTCGGATTCGCACTCTCCTGGTAAAAATATAGAAGCCATAAGAACAGCTTTTCCCTCTAATCTGGTGATAGGTTCAACGACGTTCTCCCTAATGCTTGTACAGAGGGTGCTGTAGAAATATATCCCTTCACTCGTGTAAAATGTATATGTAATATGCAGGGCGGATCCAGTGTGGTGGTTCTAACCCGAGTAGGGGGATCTATACCACATATCCCCCCGTGGTTCCGCGCACGGTAATATGCATTTTATTCAAAATTTTTTGATTTCTAATCCAATTTTTTTTTTATTTCTCCCCAAAACCAAATTCTGGATCCACCGTTGAGTGTTTATGTCGCTTTAAAATATTATGTCTGCTAAAAGAATCTATTTCTAATGCCCAAATGGTGTTTTTTAGCAGGATGGTCTATTGTTACTTCCAACATAATGATTTTTTTCATTTGTATACCCTTTCAGAGGGTATTATAATTTCAGTCAGAAGTTTGCAACGCAGTGAAGGAGGCGTTTCCCATAAAGTATATATATTCTTGATCGGCGTCACTAGACGAGTCTATCTAGCTATGTCTGCCTGTGCGTCTGTCCGTTTCTACGCAAACTAGTCTCTCAGTTTTAAAGCTATCGGGATGAAACCTTCCCAAAAGTCTTACTTCTATTGCAGGTAGTATATAAGCCGGGAAGAGCCGGAGTGACAACTACATCCTGTAGCTCCCATATGAATAATCAGAAAAATATAACTTCGGTGTTTTTTGACATTTTTACTCTTGGGAATATCATCCTTTCGATATTTCAACATATCAAATAAAAATTAAACGGACAATTAATGACAAAATAATACATAGACCGTTATATTTCGTTTTCGGTAAACATACACGGTAGTAAATTAAAATAAAACTTTGTTTTAAAACTATTGTAATTAGTTTTTAGTTTTCCAAAAACAGGGGAACTCCCACGGTATCGACCTGCAAGGGTACAGTAACGTCGGCTTGCCGAAGTTAGCTTCCTTCTTTGTTTATCCTTTAAGTGGCGAACCCATTTGAATACAAAAATGAATAAACCCCACCATTAAAATGACCCTAATCACCAATATCCTTTTTTGCGAAATTTTGGGGAAATGTGTGCTTCCTCGAAGAGATTTCTGTGACACCTCCTATAAAGTTGTTTCGACGGCCGACCTGTTGAGACATACAGTGAAGTGAAAATAAGGTAAACAAAACTGGATTGGACACAAAAAGGATTCATAGACAAATTTTGTTGAACAATTTTCGTGATAGTGGGCCGACTGTAAAAAAAAACAGCAATCACCCTGGACCATTCTGAATCCAGCAATATTGATCTTTTAAATTTGTCCCAGGATATTATCGACGTATTTCAATTTTAAAATTTTATAATTTTTTAATCTATGCCTTTTAAAGGGTCGATTTCTTTGACAAATTTCTCCAATGAGGTATATTACCTTGTGTGGTTAATGCTTTCTGCTCTCGTTCTGAATAAAACCCATATTTCCATAACTTATAAAGGTGTCTTCTTAAATGTGCCTAAGATTCTATGATTACAATGTAATCGCCTTCAATGAGCAAGAAAACGTATCTAAAGTAAATAATACTCTTTCTAATATTCTATTAAAGGAAAATACATAAAATAGTTTATACTATAATGTGACCAGTATTTATGTTAATGCTTAAGATCGTAAAATACTGAGTTGTTATAATCAGTACATTTAAAATGTAATAAGTTACCTCGTCCTTGATGAAGTTGAAGTGCAGTTATTAGTTCAGCGCAATTATCAGGCGATAGTAGGCCAGTTTCAACGTTAATCAATTCTTTGAGCGAATTATAATCACGGACTTTTCCGTTTGGGTTCATTATAAGCTTTAGCGGTATTTTTTCCAACTTTGTAAGTTCCAATGTGGAATTTGTTTCGGAATTCTCTTTATATGGATCTACAGCGTCACTTGAGCACTCATTCCCTGAATATGTAAACGATTGTATAGGTTCGTACTTAAAAATGAGAGCTTATTAGTTCACTGTATCTTTTCTTAATTTTATTTACTACAAAGGAGATGTAAATGACTGCTTACTTTTTTATTTAGAATAGCTGAATTTGTTCAATATAGCTTCCTAAATAATTGGTTCTCACGTTTGTATATACATTTTAGTATGTTCGCGTCCTCGACTTGAACATTATTTTCTTATTTCAGATTAAGACATAGGTTATTGTCTATTTAAAATGAGAAACAATGGCAATTGCCCCAAATTCAAATAAAGTTTACGAAGCAAAAGTATGCAACAAATTTTTAAATTAAAATATGTAATGTCATTAATAACACTGTGTTATAAAATTTAATCTTTATTTATTTACCTTGACGCATGCTAGAAAATCATTTACGCTTAAAATCGCTCCTTTAAAATGTGTTCAGAAAAAAAAATCCCCTACACATTCAGGGAAAAGTATTTAAAAGGTAGAAGAAAGCGTTTCGGACTCCATAAAGCTAGAAAGTTGGGATTTCAGATTTAGATTCCAAAGCTTCGTAGGCAGGGCAACTTTGTTATGCGAATGTGTCACGTCCAAAACAATAACGTCCACAGTTTCAAAGGTTAAAGTTTAAAATATATTTATTTTATTCCGCGTATCAATAAATACCAACACGCAGAAAATGTTTAATATCGGCCTTTAGTTAATAAGTAATGACCTTAGGCCCGTATCTAGCTATTTGGTAAAAGTGAAATTTGTAAGAAGTAAAAATGTCAAGTAGATAAGAATGAAAACATCGACGTTTCTTCTCCCCCACTCTTTTGAAGTTGATTAGCTGAGTAAAGGGGATCTGATACTCGTTTTGAACTCGTCGGAAAGAGCCGTATAGGAAAACAAGAAAGGAAGTTAACTTCGGCAAGCCGAAGCTTGTATACCCTTGCAGTTATATTAATTCAATTTAAAAATACAAAAAATTGTATTCCCAATAGTATATATGTCAGAAAACACCGCAGCTATAATTTGTTTCATATTATTTTCCCACCAATTTTCCGATCGCTCTTATGGCAGCTATGTGATATAGTCGTCCGATTATGATAAAATTAAATTAAAATTTCAGAACTAATTAAAAAATGTTATTTCCAAGCGTAGAAGGCTATATGTTAAAAAACACCGAAGCTATAATTTGTTTCATATTATTTTCCCACCAATATTCCGATCGTTCCTATGGCACCTATACGATATAGTCTTCCGATTTTGATAAAATTTAATGTGAAATTCAATACTAATTAAAAAATGTTATTTCGAAGCTTAGGAGGTTATATGTTAAAAAACACCAAAGATATAATTTTTTTTAATTTTTTTTTTCGATTATTCCTATGGGAGCTGTAAGATAAAGTTGTCCGATCCGGCTGGTTCCGACTTATATACTACCTGCAAAAGATATAAGACTTTTGGCAAAGTTTCAGCCCGATTGCTTTAAAACTGAGAGACTAGTTTGCGTAGAAACGGACGGACAGACGGACATGGCTAGATCAACTCGTCTAGTCATGCTGATCAAGAATATATATACTTTATGGGGTCGGAAACGTCCCCTTCACTGCGTTGCAAACTTCTGACTGAAATCAATATACTCTCTGCAAGGGTATAATTATATCCTATACCTCCCATAGGTATGATCAAAAAGATATTTTCTAAAAAATTTTAAAAAAAATTATTAAAATGTCTGCATTTTTTGAAATATTAACTTATACTCTTCAGAATTTCATTCTCTTAATATTTCAGAATGTTGAATAAAATTTATAACAATTTGGACGATTTCATCAAATAGCAGTCATAGGAACGAGTGTATAATTAATGTCAAAATAATACATAGACCGTTATTTTATATACCGTAATTTCTGTAATTAGTTATTAGTTTTCTAAAAATCAAAAACCTCTGTACATACAATGCTCCCACGGGAACGACCAGCAAGGGTGTATAATCTTTGGCGTGCCTAAGTAAGCTTCCTTGCTTGTTTTAAAAATATTTGTTTGATTATTCCTATGGGAGCTATAGGATATATTTTTCCGATCCGGCTCGTTCTGACTTATATACTACCTGCAATCAAAATAAGACTTTTAAGAAGGTTTCGTCCCGATAGCTATAAAACAGAGAGAGTTTGCGTAAGACTGACAGACGGACGGACAGGCGGGCATGGCTAGGTGACTGGTTTAGTGATGCTGATCAAGAATATACTTTATGGGGTCGGAAACATCTCCTTCACTGCGTTGCAAACTTCTGACTGAAGTCATTATACCCTCTGCAAGGGTATTGTTCGTACCAAAAGGTACTCAACATGACCACACCCAACAAATCAAGCAGTACCCAAGTTGGGAACAGTACCAGGCGCTCAGTAGCACTCACGGTAGACTAACTCACCGTCTCACCGACTCAACGGCTCACTGACCCGCCAATGCAGTCAGCACATGTTGCAGTGTCAGTACCAGGCGTTCAGTAACACCCACTGCATATGAGAATTGCTGATCAGCATATTATATGTCTCACTAACTCACCATCTCACCGACTCACCGTCTCACAGACTCAACGGCACACTGACGCGCCAATGCAGTCAGCACATGTTGCAGTTTTAGCTGAGCCAACTGCACCATAATCATAATTCCCTGACCTACTTTAGAATATAGCTTATTTCGCTAATCATTACACTAAGCTTCCGTGTTCCAAGTAGTATATAAGCAGGTATCAAATGAAGAATAAATCAGTTATCAACACACCTCTTAACTCCGCGGTTCTACTTCCTACATCTGGGAATAGGGCTCGTAATACACTATCTCAACTAGCAGGTAACCACGTTAGCTCTACCCCAGCGCAGTTCCGCATCGCCTGTGGTCCGGCATTGCAGTAACCATCGTTACCATTGCCGCGACGCGATCGTCCTGCCAGCAAAGCGTCCCCGTGCCAGCGACAAGTGCTCATTACCCCCTTGTCCCGCGGTGTGACCCGGAAGTGTCTACTTCGGTTAGGCACAAACAGGTATAAAATATATAAGCGGGGTTTTCTGCCGGAAGCAGGCATGCTTTTTATCGTGATACTTAAAAAAGACATTGAACGGTATTTTAGAAATAAATAATTTGAAAGATTTTTGGAATATGTTTGCTTACTAAGCTCAAGAAACAACATAAGACAACGCTAACCACAAATTTCAAAATTAATAATCCTTCGAATAGATTCAAAAAAAACATAGACGCTTACATATATATCTTCTTTCCATTTTTACATTTTAAACTTTTCACTTTTATCTACTGGCTGTGACGTCATTGACGTTGCTCTTGCTAGATGCGGGCGTAAGTTCATTACTTATTATCAAATGCTTAGATTTATTAGGTATTGACAAGCGGAATAAAATAAAATTTATTTCCTATTTTAATTTTTTAAAAAGTGCGTGCAACATTTTCATTAAGTAAGAGAATTTGAGAAAGGGGAATCCCCTCCAGTTGCCTTAAAATTGACCTTTCGTTCCCATTTTTTGAAAATATTTTTTTTTTAATCTACTTTTTTGCATTTCTTTCACACATTCGGTGAAGGAAGACTTTTTTTAAAAAGGTAAGACAAGGGCGTACCTCCTACAATCGATATTAAAAAAAAAATCAATTTTGGGTACCCCAACGTAGCCCTATTTTTTAAAACGAGTCTATTTGGCCGAACGTAGCTATCAAAACGAAGCCGCATATTTCCGCCATTTCAAATTTTTGTTATTAACGTATTTGATATTTACCCCAAACTTAACTTAAATTATAAATATTTAATCAGTATTAGGTAATACAATTGTGAGAACCGCTTTTTATAACACCATATTCGAAAAGACTGTTACCTTGAGATCTACCTTCATGAACCCATTTGTCTGAGCGTTTTTTTCGATTGACATACATTGACTGACCCTTAGAGGTTTGGTTACTAATATCACTTAATGAATGTGATATTCTTCGTGCTAGCTCAACTTGGTCTTCCACAGTAGGGTGTAGTGTTGGAGAATAAAATGCAGACGAGGCATATAGCTTTCCTATTTTGAATAAGTTAAAGAATGAAGATAAATAAGTTTACCTAAAATTTAATTTAAAAAGGCGATACGTAATTAACGTTTACTTTTGAAAGCATTTCAGAACCGTATGTTATATCAAGCAATGCCCATCGTTAAAGCTAAACGAAATAAGTAAAACAAGCGAGTATTAGTCACGTTATAAGGTTCACTGTTGATGTTTATTTCAAGCTTTGTCAAAACGACTGTTACGTATCATCTTTTCTTATTGATTTTTTGATTACTTACGATTTTTCGGCAATATTTCAGTAGCATCGGTCGCAGGAGTAAATATTTTGCGCAAATCAATAGTCTTCGGTATATCTGTGTGTTCCTAATGGAATACATAAAAATATATTCTAACTTATCCTATTTTATTTCTTTTGTATATGTTTAAAGTAGTCCGCTGCCCGGAAAAGAGATTTTCCATGAAATCACAAATAAAATACGTTTTGCGAACGTTTTATTTTAAAAAGTATTAATACACCATGTAAAGTACTCTGTAGTAAAAGAAGTTGAAATTTTTAGAAGGAGGTGTAGTACATTTTTGTTCGGCCATAGCTGCTTACTGAGGTTGAATAAAATTTGCCGTTTACTATGATCAAAAAGATCACTTGGACGAAAGCCTCTTTTTTTCTCTACTATGGAATTCATTTTTGTCGTATTTATATTAGATTCGGATTTTAATATTTGTTAATAATATTCGTGAAATTAATTGCAGTCCGTGTCCATTAAATTTTATAGCACAAATAGAATTCAAAACAAAATAAACGCTTTTCTCACACAATTAAATGTGTACATTTATACATCAATAAGATTTGTATATACATTATGTGTATAGAGCGTAATGTGAGCGAACAAAATGATCTCGAAAACGCTAATTATAGAAACTCTTGTTCTCAAATTTGAAGGCAAGCGTTGGGGTATGTGCTACAAGAAGCTTTTATTTAAATATAAAATATGTACACTTCGCATCACTTGAATAGGTTCACTATAAGTGTAAGTTTGTCTATCTGTGTTACCACTAAAAATTCTATAAATTGGAAATCACTATTACGTTATTAGTTAACAATAGACCTATGATTATGCATACATATGTATTTGCATAATTTTAAAGGATAAAGATAGTTAAATTTTGGCAACGCGGAAGATCGTTGCATTAATAATAAACATATAGAAATCACTTCAGTGCTAAGTCGTGTAAAATTGCGCTGTAGCACTCCCGCAACTTAAAAAGTATATGCATAAATTATTAAAATACACATGCGTAAAGACAAAGGGAAGAGGTCTGTAAGTTATGACAGTTGATTTTCTCATATTTTTTCCGTCCTCCTTATCAATAAAAAATGTTGTAGTCATCTTTTTTGTAACTTCTTTGGCTGTAAACTAGTGATATCTACAAAAAATCCAACCATTTTTGTATTCGGGGAAAGTATGTGGCTGTGTATCACCAGCCAACTCGATCTAGACATGTCCGTCTGCCGCTCTGTTCGTCTGTTCTTGTGAACTCTGTGATCTCGAAAACTATATGAGATCTAGATTCCTTAGCTTCGTTCGCATCGCAAGTTGGTACGTTAACGTGACACGCCCACTCTAACGCCCAAAAACCGCACAAAACTGTGGCGCCCACAGTTTAGATGCTAGAGTAAAAATAACAACTGAATTGTATCGGTCTCGTCAAGTCCTATCGAAAAAACTCCCACAAACGCCTATAACGCTTAAAACTGTCTGCCGTCCTCAATACCTCATATTGAAATCGCGTGTAGGTGGCGCTTTACTCGACTTTAGCGTTCTTGTTCTTAACAAAAAAAACTTAATTATTTGTTCCTTAAAATATCCATTTTGTGTAAGTGACATTTTGAGTTTATGAATTGGGACAACCGTTTTGCATATCATAATAATTTGCGATCAAATAGCTGTTTAGTTTTAAATGTGATTGATTAAAACACGTAGAAAAGACAGAGCATAAGTTAAAATAAACTACAATTTATTAAATAAGCAAAAATACATTTTTTTTTTAAGATTTAAATATTTTTGCGGTGAGATTTATTGACTTTAAAAGAGTCCCAACTTATAAGTCTGTATACAGACCTTTTTTTAAACTTGCTACGTTTTACGAGTCCGAAGAAAACCTTTTTATACCCGTTACTCGTAGAGTAAAAGGGTATACTAGATTCGTCGGAAAGTATGTAACAGGCAGAAGGAAGCGTTTCCGACCCCATAAAGTATATATATTCTTGATCAGGATCACTAGCCGAGTCAATCTAGCCATGTCCGTCTGTCCGTCTGTCCGTCTGTCTGTCCGGATGAACGCTGAGATCTCGGAAACTATGGGAGCTAGGCTATGGAGATTTGGCGTGCAGATTCCTGAGCTTCTTACGCAGCGCAAGTTTGTTTCAGTAGAGTGCCACGCCCACTCTAACGCTAGAATAAAAATTTTAACTGCAATGTAATGTTCTCATCAATACCTATCGATGGACCCAAAGTTTGCCACGCCCACCCTAACGCCCATAAACCGCCCACAAACTTCAAAAAATCGTAAATATGAGCGTGGATATCTCGGAAACTATCAAAGATAGAGAATTGGGATTTCAGATTTAGATTCCGTAGCCTTATACGCAGCGCAAGTTTGTTACGCGAATATGCCACGCCCACTCTAACGCCCACAAACCGCGAAAACCTGTGATGCTATCTATGCTAGATACAAAATTTTAACTGAAATGTGTTGGTCTCGACAATACCTATCGATTGGTCCAAAAAAAAAAAATATTTGCCACGGCCACTCTAACGCCCATAACGCTTAAATCTGTATACCGCCGGTAGGTGGCGCATTTTAATCTCGCTTTGCTACTTGCATATCTCTACTTAGCTGAGTAACGGGTATCTGATAGTCGAGGTACTCGACTATAGCGTTCTTCCTTGTTTTTATGTTTAATTACTCGTAGAGTTAAAGGGTATATTAGATTCGCGAAAAGTATGTAACAGGTAGAAGTAATCGTTTCCGACCATACAAGGTATGTATATTCTTGATCAGGATAACTAGACGAGTCAATCTAGCCATGTCCATCTGTCCGTCCGTATGAAACTATAAATGCTAGAAGGTTGGGACTTGGCATGTAGATTCTTGAGATTCTTGCGCAGCGCCACTTTTTTTCAGCAGGGTGCCACACCCACTCTAACCCGCACAAACGACTATAACTTTAAAACATGTCTTACGCCTACATTTTTGAAGATTTTGGAAAAAAGGAAATGAAATTTTGTTAACAGTTATTAATAAGATATAAAAAAATAAAGTATGAAATCTGGAAAACACACGCTTGGCTGCTTGCATATCTCCATTTCTTTCGCACCCCCCCTAGCTGAGTAACAGCTATTTTATAATAGACTATAGCGACTATAGCTTCTTTCTTGTTTTTTACCTACAATATTAAGCTGTCTAAGGGTAACTACCGCATTAAGTTTCATAAGCAAATGATGAAATGGCAGGCCAAAAAGAAAAGGTCTCCCAACACACAGACCTGTTCCCTAATAATATGAGAAATGTTTTAAGTATATGAATATTTCATAAACAAATTAAAGCAAAAGCAAGTCTAAAATATGAGAAGGGTAGCTTTTCGAGTGGTGTAGGTTTATTTTAGGATAGTTGTGTTGGATATAAGGTTACATATAGAAATTATAACTATAAGTGTTCTGCGCACGTTCTGCTCTTGAGTACGACTCTGTCTCGACTACTTTACATTTGTAGAGTCTGGTAACATTATAAAAAAGGACTTATTCTACACTAATATTGAAGGTTTGGTATATACTATATTAGGCGCTGTTCACAGTCGGCCTCTCCTGACAAATCTCTGCTTCCTCGCAGGATTCATGGGGTGGATCATCTTCAAAGTCGTCATCTTCATCGGGCTCCTCCGGTGGCAGCTCACACCAGCGCTTCATCTTGTCGGACGAATACACCGACTTGTAGTGTCTCTGCTTTCGTTGTGCGTGAGGGATATCTTCTACAAGATATCTGTCGTTCGGCAGGACCTTGGTGATTATAAAAGGTCCTTTGTAGCGCGGCTCCAATTTGCGTGATGTGCCCGTGCTGAATGGCTCATTCTCGACCAGCACAAGGTCTCCAAGGCTGTAAACAGTTGGCTTCGCATGTTTGGCATCGTAGCGTTTCTTGGCGGCAGCTCGGTGATCGTTGACAGTTCTCGCAGCATCTGCTCTAAGTTGATCCAATTCCGCATCGGTTAGCATCTTTTGGTCTTGGCTTTGAATAATGTTGGTTATCGCGTTCTTTAGGATATCTCGAGGTTCATACCCATACAGGAGCTGAAAGGGAGAGCATTTAGTTGTACTATTTACCATGGTATTAATGCTCCACTGTATTGATCGGATATTGTCATCCCAACGTTTATCGATGTCATTGGAAGGCAACAACATTGACAAAATTATGCGATTTGTGCGTTCTGCGTGACCATTGGCTCTGGGTGTCCTTACTGCATTTAAAATGTGCTTTACATTGTTTGACTTGCAGTACTTCTCGAAATCTTTTGATGTAAATGCTGTACCACGATCGGTTACAATTCGATCTGGCATTCCCAGGTAGCTGGTTACATCTTGCAGGACATCTAGGGCGTGTTTAGTTGCTGTACTTTTCACCGCTCGTACAATGGTGAATTTGGTGAATGCATCGACTATTACCAAAATATGCTCGTTTCTCTTGGAACTCTTTGGAAATGGCCCCAGGTGGTCCATGTGTATCGTGGAAAAGGGAATCGGCTTGATGTCATCGTAGTGGTACTGACCTTCCTGACGTCCACCTGGTGTTTTATAAAACGCACAGCCCACACAGGATTTTATGTAGCTTTTGACATAGTTTCGCATTCGGGGAAACCAAAATAAGTTTAGAATTCGTGCCATTGTCTTATCCGTGCTCATATGTCCGACCTTATCGTGACATTCATGTAAAATGTGGAATCTCAACTGCTTCGGCACAACCCATAATAAATTGTTGCCATGTTTTCGAAACAAGCGATCTTGCTCGATCACATACTCGTCGCTTTCAGATTTCTTTTCCAATTTCATGTTTGCGACAATTTTTTGTATTTTCTCGTCCTGTAGTTGTATGGAAAATAGCCAGTCCTCTTCGTCGATTATCGTTTTTGCTGTTTTCAGACTTGCGGTATCCATCTCTCGAGCATCTTCGAACGGAGCTCGACTGAGTGCGTCCACGTGGTTCATCTGTGTTCCTGCTCGATGAATGATATCTATGTCGAATTCTTGAATGCGTAACCACCATCTTGCAATCCGGGGTATCAGTTCTCGTTTCTCCATCGACGTCTT